GTTTGTGTGTGAAAAAAGTAAAAAAACTAAATTGAACGCTAATTTTGGCCAGTGTTTGTGACCAAGTGGTTACTAAAAAAGACTGGACATACCCCATTTGCAATACCTTGGGTTGTCTTCTTTTGCAAATGGTATGCCATCATGGGGGTAATTCTCATTCCTGGGCTACCATACGCTCTCAAAGGCAACGTAACCAACCTGGCCATTTTCAATGTAAAAATATTTGACCCATATATTTGACCTTGTAACTTTCAAAAATGCTATAAAACCTGTACATGGGGGGTACTGTTTTACTCGGGAGACATCGCTGAACACAAATATTAGTGTTTAAAAACTGGAAAACGTATCACAACAATTATATCATCAGTAAAAGTGCTGTTTGTGTGTGAAAAATGCAAAAAAAGTAACTTTCACTGACAATATCATCGCTGTGATATGTTTTACTGTTGTGAATCACTAATATTTGTGTTCAGCGAAGTCTCCCGAGTAAAACAGTACCCCCCATGTACAGGTTTTAGGGTGTCGTAGAACGTTACAGGGTAAAATACAGTGCTAGCAAATTAAATTCTCTGGAATTTCGGCCTGGGTTGGCAGGCAGGTCCCTCAAATTGCAATCAATAAAATTACTGAATTATGTAAAAATATTACATAAATACGCACGTAGAATTTAAATATATATGCATATTTATATATTTGAAGTCTACGTGTATATTTATATAATTATTTATGTAATTTTGTATATGGACGTATGTATATTTCTTATTATTTTTATTTATTTTTATATACATAGATATATATACAAATTCATTCTAAGTGTATTTTGATATAAATATATATATATTAATTTTAAAATACAGTTAGAATAAAATTTCATATAGTTATATAATTTTTTTTAAATTTTTTATTATTATTTTTAAAAAAAATTATTTAATTTAAATTACTTATTATTTATATTTTATAATAATATATATATACAATATATATAGTTATTATATATATTATATATATACGTGTGTAATTTAATTATAAGTGTATTTTTATATTAATATAAGTACATATTAATATAAAAATACACTTAGTATGACATTATATATATATGATATATAGACATATATTATATAGATATAATATATGTCTATATATCATATTTATACATATATAATTATTATTATTTTTTTTATTACCATTAACTTTAATTTTTTTTCTGATTTTACAGTTGCAGGGAGACTGCCTGTCAGTACAGGCAGTCCCCCTGCAGGCAGCACTATGGACACCTATTGTGACCATGTGATCGCTGTGTTAAGCGATCACATGGCCACAGGGGTCCTAATCTGCCGTGGGGAGACTGTCTGGGCTGCAGGCAGTCTCCCCACAACCGGAGGAACACTGATCGCCGCCGGGGGAACGACGGCGATCAGGTAAGTAGCCCCAGACCGTTTGGACGGTTCAGGACCGTCATCGGTCGGCAAGGCAAAAATGCCGATGACGGTCCTGAACCGTCCTCGGTCCTTAAGGGGTTAAGGTATCCTATGGTAATTGGTACCAACTAAACAGCTGGTTATGAATATTAAATCATGTATAAAAGTGTGTGGATCAGTGCTCCTTCTTCCAATTGCTTTTTTTCTCAGATGATCGGATGTGAACCAACCATGGTGTTTTTGACTGTTTTAATTTAGAGATCACGCTGACACGGTTGAACAATGGGAAATACAATGGAAGGGTAGGGCCCTTGAAAATCACTCTTACAATGTTTGGAATCCCTGATACAACATCTTAAAGGAAGGAAACAATGCTCCCTCTTCAAATAATTCCTCAGTTACTTGTTGTTTAACAGGGTCCATTAAAAAGCATGTATCTACTATTAAACTTAAAGGGACACTGTAGTCACCAAAACAACTTTAGCTTAAAGGAACAATCCGTTTTCCTGGAATTGCATGTCCCCTCTCCCACCCCCCATCCCCGGTTGCTGAAGGGGTGAAAACCCCTTTAGTGACTTACCTCAGACCCCCGCCGATGTCCCTCGGCGGTGGTTTTTGCTTGCCGCCGCTCCTCCTCTTCCTTAAGTCATCCGGTGGGCGATTCTGATCCCGCACGCCGGATGAGGAGACCTAATGCCGCGCACGCACATTAGAGCTCTCCATAGGAAAGCATAGAAAATGCTTTCAATGCTTTCCTATGGGGAGTTGAGCGGCGCTGGAGGTCCTCACACAGCGTGAGGATGTCCAGCGACGCTCTAGCACAGAAAACCTGTGCTATAGACACGGAAGTGCCCTCTAGTGGCTGTCTAGTAGACAGCCACTAGAGGAGGAGTTAACCCTGCAAGGTAAATATTGCAGTTTATATATAAAAAAAACTGCAATCATTACACTTGCAGGGTTAAGAGTAGTGGGAGATGGCACCCAGACCACTCCAATGGGCAGAAGTGGTCTGGAGTGTCCCATTAATGAAGCCGTTTGGTGTATAGCTCATACCCCTGCAGTCTCACTGCTCAATTCAATGCCATTTAGGAGATAAATCAAATTGGTTTCTGTTTATGCAGCCCTAGCCACACCTCCCCTGGCTGTGACTGACACAGCCTGCATGAACACTTCATGTAAAAGAGCCATCTAAGGTTTAAAACTTATTTTCCTCCTGCTCTATTAATATCTTGCTAGACCCTGTAGGAGCCTCTTTGAAGTAATAAAACTTCAATCTACATAGCAAGAGAGCAACTTTTAAAGTAAGTTAAATCTGATTGAAAATTAAACCATTCTTTTTTTTTATTGCGTGTGACTAGGGCTGCATTAACAGAAACAAAAGTGATTTAACTACTAAATGGCAGAGAGTTGAGCAGTGAAACTTCAGAGGCTATACACCAAAACTGCTTCATTAAAAGGACCACTATAGTGACCAGGACAACTACAGCTTATTGTATTTGTTCTGGTGAGCATAGACTGTCCCTTTATGCGTTTTGAAGTAAACACTGCAGAGAAAAGGCAGTTTAGAATGCAGCATAGGGACACCTCCAGTGGCCACTCCTCAGATGGCTACTAGAGGTGCTTCCTGGGGCAGTGCTGCGACATTCAGTGTCTCCATGGAGATACTGAACTTTCCTCATAGAGATGCATTGATTCAATGCATCTCTACGAGGAGACGCTGATTGGCTTGTACTGGCTCGGTCTATGATTTGCCTCCTTGATAAGCTCAGCCAATCTAATGCTTTCGTACGGGAAAGCATTGTGATTGGCTGAGATCATTACTTCTGATGTCAGCTAAGGAGGCAGATCAGGGCCAGAGGCAGCAGCAGGAGACTGGAATAATAGGCAAGATTTTACTATACTTAGGGTGACAAGAGGGAACCAGGGCCTTGATGATGTTTTTAACAACATAGGGTCAGGAATACGTGTTTGTGTTCCTGGCCCTATAGTACTTCTTTAAGCTAAAGTTGTTTTGGTGACTATAGACTCCCTTTAAAATGATCTGCTGGTCTTCATTTCACATAAAGGGACATGCATCACTTCGAAACAAATCTCTTTCAAAGCTTTAGCTTTAAATGAGACAGTCGATTCACTCTGCAGGCAAAAAAAAAAAAAAAAAAGCAGGTAAATGTTTTGTTTCCATATTTACCCATTTGATTTTTCTTATGTTTTTCAACACCCATTCCAGAGTATGGATACTGATCTAATAATCAATGTCCTATCCCTAGGAATGCTGGAAAAGGTGCATTAGGCATGCCTTACAGATTTACACATGTGCACTTGGAAGATCTGTTCACCTTGCAACATCATGACAGGGGGAGATGAGAGGGAGCCTGATCAGTGTGATCATGAAGAGCAGGCTCCAGTGTTTGTTTCTATCTTCTGCATCACAATGATGCCCTGTTTCTGTCATTAGTGGACTGGTCTGAAACCGAGATGGGTATGTAAGAGGTGACTGCAGATGGCTGAATAAACTCCCCTAGATGAGGCGTGCCCAGTAATGCAATCTGACCAAGTTTATAAATGTACATATTTATTTTATTTGTTTTTGCTTTATAGATTTGTGTAACCCCTTAAGGACACATGACATGTGTGACATGTCATGATTCCCTTTTATTTCAGAAGTTTGGTCCTTAAGGGGTTAAAAGTGTTTGCTTGCTGGTTTAAATAAATATTATGCAAATCCCTTTGAAGAAACTAAATTCTTTAATTTAAGCACTTTTTTTTTTAATGATATGCAATCATTTGATAAATGCAATATATATGTGAACAAGTCATGTGACCTAATTATGTCATTACTGTGACTTTTCTTGTAACTGTTTTTTTGATATGCAATCAGTTGATAAATGCAATGTATGTGAATGAAGATCATGTGGCCTAATTATGTCTATTTTCTGCAACATTTCTTGAAAATTACCATTTATCTCAAAGTCCTATCAATAGGGCTACATGCAGGACCTGATTTTATTATCACTTGAAAAGGGCTATGTGTGAAATGCGTTGTGATTATATTGGACTTCAACGGTTTTTATTTTGTGTGGTATAGTACAATAAATATGGTTTTTACACTCAAAGTTTTTTTTGTTTTTATCTAGCATTTTAATATATTATTCTAAAGAAACCTCTACATCTACCTACATATATCCTTGGTAGGGATCATACCACCCAAGCTGATACAAATTGCTCTTGTGAGTAGATTTTATATATATTTTTTTATAAAATACTATTGTCAAACGGTGAGCACTATATCTTTTTTTTATTCCTTCATATGCCGTTTACATTGTGAGTGTATTTTATCTTAATTTTACACAAGACATTGTATATACTGGATTACACTATTGGTGATTTATTTTATATGAGACAACAGAAATCATCAAGTTTAGTCTACTTTTTTTTTGTATTGTTAAATGTATTTTTCCTTGTTCCTCTTCGGTTATTAGGGTATCCAAGTAACAGATCCTATTCTGCTTCCTTTGGAGTTGGCGCTGTATCGCCCTTCTTTTTTCTTGTTGAATCCTTATGTCTATGAAATCAACAAACCCTGTAAAATTATGCATGCAGATGGGGACCGTTTTGTCATTTTTAAAAATTGCTGCACTATAAGTACATGGTGCAAAATATTTTTTGTAATATAATTAAACTTTCCAACTAAAGTTAAATGGTCATTTAAGACGGCAAGAAAACGCAAGTCACTTTTTTTTCACATTTTATTAAATTTTTACAAAAAACAGAATACAAAAAATATCTGATGGAATCAGGAGATCAGACAAAGTCTCCTTTAGCTGCATCAGAAATGCCTGTTAAAATACAGTAAAGTGCTTATTTTTTTTTTCCAGATTTTTTCTTTATTATTATTTTTTTTTATATTCATCCCAGACCTCCCACCCACCCCCCTCCTCAAGAAGCCAAAAGAAAAAGAAAAAAAAAATCCTTCGCCCAACATTTTCTCTTTACAGAGACTACTTTCCACAGTGCATTACAAAATAATATTGAGTATAAAACTTTGGCAGCTTCAAAGAAAAGGAAAAAAAAAAAAGCCATTTTATATTTTTAAATTTGTTTTTTTAAACATTTTCTGAAAAGCCTAATGGATGGGAAATTCACAGTTTCAAGATTTGTACGCATTTCACATTGGACAGCTCTTTTAGGGACAATGTGGAATTCCTGCACTCTGTTCTCTATTTTATTTCTTATGACAAAAAATAAAGTTTGATAACCAGGATCATTTAGCAGCTTTTCACTGCCCAAAAAACCATATCTGATAAAATAACCTTATTACTGCTAGACAGAAAACTTCATTGGCCACTTTGTAAGTGGAAAAATAAAGTGGCTTAACGGAAAAAATAAAATAAAAAAATTTACACAAATTAAAGCTTTTTGTTTTTTTTAAAAAACAAACAAACAACGATCATTTTTCTTTTCTTTTTGATCTAGAGCGGACCTGCATTTTCCTTTGAAAAAATGTATACATTTCAGATTTACAAGCTGCAGGTAGGACACTATTTCAACGATGTTATTAAAAACAAAAACAAGTAAATAATCTGCAAAGCAGGGCAAGTGCTTAAACAAGCAAAGTTGACGGAGCCCATTTAACCAGCTGTCGTTCGGTTAACAAGCACTTAAATACAAAAACATAACACCTTGTCTAGTTTCAAAGCTTATTTTTGTGCACCGGTCCTGTAGGTACTGCAATAACAGGTTAAATGTATGGAATGGACAGAACAAGCTTTTTCCATCACCCTGTTCATAAAAATCCATTTCAATACATGGTGAGACAGTAAACTGATAATTTAGTTACTACACTTGATCTCGGCCAAAAGGTTCAGAAATTGTTTAAAACTTATTTTAATCATTGAAAGTCACTTGTGAAAAGATCGATACCAATTCTCTTCTTTAAAAGACTCAATGATTTAAAAAAAATAACCCCCCTGTCCCGCCCCCCCAAAAAGCTCCATTCCCCCTCCACCCCAGTTCCACTAGTGAGAAAGTTTTTTGTTTTTTTTATTTGTGCCTCTTTGCTGTGGCATATGGTGTTAGAGAACAACACATACATAGTCCCTTGCCCTGCCACTTTCTGATACAGGGGTATCTTGTCACGGTCTGATAATGACAATTGGAGCATTTTCCCGATGCAGGTTTGCCCTAGTATTGGTTCATTCAGTGAACCTCTCATGTAACTGGAAGAAAGAGGACAAGCACTAGAAAAGCTGCTCTCAACATAGTCCCAAGGATAGAAAAATAGTTTAACATTTCAAATGGTTCAACAAACATTTCCATTTCCCGAATGATCACTAATACTTGCAGCGGTAAATCCCTACTTGAAGTGCGCAAAGTTAAAAAAGAAAAAAAAAATCCTTACAAAAATAAAACAACTTCCCCACTCCCTATGAATATCTAGGACAAGGGGGGGAATTTAAACCAAGCTCCTAAAGCAAGCTTTTATTATTTTTTAAAAGGAGCCCTGTTAGGTCTCCAACACTTAATGGAGCCTTCTTGGGGTCATCAGAACAAAAAAAAAAAAACTCTAAGATCCCTGAAATTCCCATATAGTTCAACCCCTGCAAAATAAATTTCCCCTGACCTTAACATTTGTACAGAAAGGTCACTGCAGTCAGCAGATTCAAGTGTTCTTAATATAAGACAATGTTTTCTTGCTTTCAGATATATATATAAAAAAAAAAAAAGAAATCAAAATAACAATTTGTAATCAAATAAAGATATAGCAAGTACGACACCCAGAATCGCAAAAGTATATACCTCCTGCACACATATCTTCAGCTGGGAATGAAGACGACTCTGGGAAGCAAAGCAATATGGGGGTGAATGGTAAAATTATCCAGCATCACCCTCGAGGACAAATAATGGAATGTTTGGCTTCCAAATGTATGTCTGCACAGACACATGCAAATGATGAAACCAACATGCAAATTCAGGCAAAGACTGGAAACCCTAATACAGCCAAGTGCTTGGTCTGTACGAGCACAATCAGAAAAGCCGCACACCTATATAGAAACGCATAAAACCAATAGATGTACATTTATGCAAGGCTGCATCTTCCAAGCTCTAATGATGGCATTAGAAAAGTATTTCCAAGCTAATTTTCCATTAACTTTCTCTTCTGATCACTTGGCAGTACATTATCTGCACTAAGGCACTTTATTTGTTTGTATCTGGTTACTTATCCCCCTTAAGGACACAAGACGGAACATTTCCGTCATGCTGGCTCTTTAATTCCGAAGCGGTGTCCTTAAGAGGGTTACAGGGCTGACCCATACAGTCAGGCTGCGTAATACAGAACACTTGCACCAAACGAAGATCACCCTGGAGGGTTATTAGACAGGAAAGGGAACCAGCTGTTAAATGGATTTAGTAAACCCTTATTGCTCTGTAACCAACGTTAATGTCACTGCCCTTAATGAATCGGCCTCTTGGTGATAACCAAACTTCTTAAGTGAGCTTTTCTTTAGAAGTACAAAAAAAAAAAAAAAAAAGCCAAAACAAAGTTTCGATTAATTCCATACAAATCACAAACATTCCCTATGGACCAACAGGCTGACATAACCAAAACAAAACAAAAAATCCATACAATGTGCATGTTGTAGATATGGTCGAATGTAGACCTTCAAAATTCATAAGATTGCATAAATCGGTCAGATGGACATGGATTAAAAACGCAGCTTTAGAATATAGTCTCACTGATAGAGGGACATTTAGGATTAAGGGACAGCAATTCATCAACACCCTCGTCACTGTAACACAGCGAGGCAGTTAAGCAGATGTGTCATTAAGTACGATACGGACATGAAAATGCATTTTTAGTGTATTTAATTAAGGTTAGGTTTGCCTGGACTAAAGATTTGGAATGGATATTCTTGTAAGCAATATTGTGTGATAAAATACAGATTTATTTATTTATCTTTGCAGTCTGTTTAATGGAACAGAAAAAAACCCTGCTCTTTTCAGATAATTTTTTCAATTTTTATTTATTTTTTATTTTTTAAATCAATATAGCTCAAAATTCAGGTCAGTAACAAATATGCTACCAAAAAAGGACCAATTGGTAAACAATGTTGAGCTTTTCAAAGGGGTCATATGTAAAGGCTCTTCAGTCGTATAATTTGGAAATAAATTTGAGTCTTTAGTCAGTTCTCTGGAAGAGGTCTTACAGGGGCACACTAAACACCATATCCACTACAGATTTTTGTAGTGGTTATTGTGCCAGGAGTCTCCCAGTACTGTCCCACAGTTAGAGGTAATACTGGAATTAAATGGTGTGAAACTTTCCTGGGATCCTACTTGGTCTTTAGATATAATAAAATTGTCCAAGTTTGGATGGAATTTATCGGCTGAGGACAATATACACCATTTATTTTCCTCAAGCCAAGTACAGGTGATTAAACCTGAATGACTTTGCCATTTTTTTTGTGTGTTTCTGACTTTTATGCAACAAAGACACATTCTTTTCCCAGCCCGTCACCGCCACCCACTCATACAAATATGAAGGCATCATTCGTATGTTAGGTCTTTACCCTATTATGTAAACCTATTGAACACTCTACGTAGGTTTGTGCGCATTCATACAGCATTACCCCAAAATCCTATGTGTGCCAGAGTGGTAACACAATTTCTTGGCAATGCACATTAACATAGCTTATGACCATAAAGAGCCTGTTGGCCTCTCAATGCAGAATATTAATATTTTTTTAATAGTCTGCTTATTTTCTAACCTACTGAAAACTACTTACTTGAGGACAGCCTACTGCGTATCAGATACCATCTAAATTTACTGAAAGCAGATATGCTTGAGCAAAAAAATAAAATAAAATAAAAGTTGCTTCTATATATTTCCACGGTTTCATTTTAGAACAGTTTATCCTAATATTTCTGTATATACAGGGCCGGCCTTAGGCATGAGTGTCCTGTGCGTACACAGAGAGGGGGCCCTGATAGTCAGAAAACGCCACAAATATGCTTCCATCCATTCATTCACACGCAGTGCAGCCTCAAAACTTAAACCCTGCATCACGGATCGCTTCATGGTGATACAGGCATGCAGATTTGAGATGTCATTAGCGATCAGTTGCGTGGGATTTAAGTTTTGAGGCGACACGAGAGGGACTCACGCAGCACCGATAGCATGGCCACACAACCATAACAGGAATGTAGAAGGGTTGAGGGAGACAAACCACGAGGACTGAGAGAAAGACTAGACAGGGGGGATATGACAGAAACATTTAAATACATAAAAAAAAAAGAAATCAACACAGTAAAGGAGGAGACTATAAAAAAAAAAACACTACCACAACAAGACGAGAGTCTTAAATTAGAGGGGAAAAAAGTTTAAAAATATCAGGAAGTATTACTTTACTGAGAGGGTAGTGGATGCATGGGATAGCCTTCCAGCTGTAGAGGTTAACACAGTAAAGGAGTTTAAGCACGCGTGGGATAGGCATAAGGCTATCCTAACTATAAGATAAGGCCAGGGACTAATGAAAGTATTTAGAAAATTGGGCAGACTAGATGGGCCGAATGGTTCTTATCTGCCGTCACATTCTATGTTTCTATGTTAAACGAAGAGGCAGATAGGAAAGGATCCCCAACTTTGGTAGAAAGACACAATCGAAAAATATATAACTACGTGTGATGTACAGTTTCCACTATAGACATCAAGGGAATTACACATCACATGCACCTGCAGATTACATATTTAAAGTGTGTTTGAACTACAATTCCCAAAACCCATAAGCTTTGTTTGCTATCATTGAGATTGTAGTTCACATTCAGAAACGTGTAGAGATGGTATTTATATTGCACAAGCACACAAACACCAACATGCACTCATGCATAAACACCGACATACACAGAACACTGACATATGACACAGGAGCTTTGATACACATTGTCATTGCACCCAATCAGACATTGTGCACAAACCATGTTTTGGCCGGCAGTCCTAAGGCCGGCCCTGTGTGTTAACAGATATATTTATATAGATTTTTCTTTTACGCCCCCACTCCAGGTTCTTGTACTTCAATTTTGTTCAAAAAGAGCAATTGTTTAGAATAACAGGTATATACTTTTAAAGGCAAAATATGAACAATTCAGGGCCTAAACACACTAAGATTACAAAAACCACCAGAATAAAACATAGCAATTTTTCTGATCATTACTCCATCAGTGCCCTAGAAAGGTTCTTCTTGTAAAAATAGTACTTGCCCACGCCGAGGCAAGGTTTACAAACATATTGCGCGCTGCAGTCCTAAAGGAAAGTGAGCCGAGCTTCCCAGAAAAGTTGGCCGTGTCGTCCAGACAGTGAACGCAACTCGTTGGGAAGTGGCTTCAGCTAAAAGAAGCGTTTCACCTTGAGTCTCAGAGGTCTCATGAGACTTTAGGTGACACTGGAGGTCTTAGATGTGCCCAGACTGGAAAGGGAATATTCACTAATCCCCTGAGTTTTAGGCCCTGAGTAAAGGTGCTAAAACTTAAGAGTCCAAACAACTGCATGCACTTGGCTCTTACTTGGTTAAAAGTGTTCCAGTGAATTCACTATCAATACTCTTTTAAATAGCACCACCAAACTGTGCTTTGGACACATGGAGTACATGGAACAAAATGTATATTTTGACAGACAAGCACCTCCACATTACCCACGGCTACGTCTCTACCGACCTCAAGGAGCACGGTAAGGATTTTTATAAGCAATGCTATTTGCATGGGGCTCCACAGGTCCTCTGAGCGTGATCTTGGCGAGTTGTAGGGGTGGGAAAACTAATGATCAACTGAGAGGCTGTTCAGTCCAACACAAGATTTAGTCACATTAGTTGTTCATTACTTTGCGTTCGCTTTCTACTACAGCTTCAATCTCTTCAGATTGAACGGCCAGCTCTTCCCACCAACCACCAGAAAATTCCTACATTAAAACAAAGTGTTCATGTACCATTCCTGGAGAATAAACATCCACAAAGAAGAATGTAAAAAGGAGTGCCTTTGCCCTAAATACCCCTACCAAATTCTTTATTGGCTTTATTGAATGGGACACTAGCGTGGACCACCACACATCATCCCGAGCCACCTTGAGTATAATCCCTTATTCCATTAGGAGTGCTAAGTTATCCCTGCCTGCAAGAGCTGTGTACACCACATATAGACAGAACGATTCCCCAACAACGGTTGTAAAACAAAAACTCCCATGATGCATTGCCAGCATTGCGCTCAACAAGGCATCGTGAAGTTGTAGTTTCAAAATTGGGGATTTAATCTTTTGCCCACGCTTGCTGTAGACCATAGTGTAAAGCAAAGTGGTGTGCACATCATCGGCCACAGAGAAGGTTAACTGTAACATCACCAATCAATGAGCTTGTGCGTTATCAACTCAAATACCCTTGATAGAATTTATTCATGGATTGCACCGAACAGGGTCAAACAAACTGCGCACTACTCTGACACTTAAAGTTCAGGAGATAAAGGTCACACGGGACGCTTACCAGTCATTATCCTGAACTACCCCACTATACACAATCACCTCGATCGAGGCAGTTTCAGTACGGATTCTGCAAAACTCAAATTTCTTAAATTATGCAGGATCCTTCCATATTTCCACAATAAGTAGAAATAAAATAGAATTTCAATGCTACAACTCTGGCAAAATTTCCCCTTCCAATGATCCAAAAATCCAAGTGCTAAAGGAGAAGCATGTTTCACAGTTTGCTAAAAGAGGAAAAAAACATAACAAAATATATATCCTTTGGTGGAATATATAATAATTTTTTTTAAAGGTTTCTAAAGCTGTTTTTGAAAAAAAAAAAAAAAAGCATTCATACTCCAGCAAATTATGGGTAATTGGAAACCAGCCAATTGAAAACCAGTCTTGTTGCTGGGCTATCTATGAAAATGTATACACGTACATATGTAGAAACATACAGAGCTCTATTTGTGTATGTATTTATATACATGTACAAACCACTTAAATAAAAGTTCAAACTCAGGATAAAGTTAGGATTATCTGGATAGCACTGATATTCTACAGGACTCCATGTATATTTGCTGAAGACCATTACCCAATTACCGACTTAAAGTATTTGTGTTTACCCAATTTTAGTTGCGCACCAGGTATACAAGATTGTGTTGTGTTTTTTTTGTTTGTTCAATATTGATTAGCTTATTATATCCGAATACTTGGGAGTTGGATTAATGGGATACATTTCTGAAAATTACCAGGGAGACCTGAATAACAGTGACATTATCCATCAAACTGTAAAATTAGTTGGGTTTCCTAACTTTATGCTACACGCACACACACACACACACACACTCACATTGGTGCTTCATCATACAGATGGAGGCCATTTAGTCAACCTGGTGACTCCCGATGATTGCAAAATGACCAGGGTACAAAGCAGCCCTTCCGGGGTGTTATTTACAATCATAGAATAAAGCTCCAAGATGAGTGGCAAAATGCAAACAGTCACCCTTACAAATCTGGAAAGAGGTCATTTTATCCCACTGCTTCGGACGTTAAACTTTAAAAGAGGTGCAGCACTTTCCCCCACAGAGTTCGAGAGTGGAGTGCTTACCCCACTCTGGAACTCAAATGTGGAATCCAGAGCATTTATACTTTAATACATAAAAACAAACAAACAAACAAAAAAAAAAAAATGTTTCAGCCCCATACAAAAATTTAAAATAAATGATCAAAGGGCTTAGATTTAGATTTTTTTGTTTTATTAAAAGGATTTCTGACCAAAATATATATTTCAAAAAAATTATATAATATTATATGATTGCAATGCATTGCAGACAAACAAATTGCAGGACTGTATGTATATTACACACATACATATATATCATTTTTAAAAAAATGAAAAAGACTAAATGCCCTGGTGGGGTCGTGGTAGTAAAGGTAAATCATTTTTAACTAGAAGTAACTGCACCTCTGAAAGTTTTGAACGCACAAGTCTGGATCACTCAGGTAAATGCTGATTTGATAGGAACATCTCAACAAACTGGTTGCTGAAACCCCACAACAGAGTAAGAACGAGTATAAAAACAAGGACCTCCCCTGTAGGCTGCCACTTGTAACCCGTCACAAACTCACATGCAAAACCATGGTGAGAATAAAGTGGGAAGGATGTAGCTTAGTCCGTGGCAATAAGAAGGGATGACAAGCTGGGAGGAGAGACACCTCCTTTGCTTCCCTGTTGTCTCCTCTTGGCCAGTTTGGATTCGGAAGGAGGGGAGAGTCGCATGGAGCAAGAGGTAGCTTTGACTACGATGGGACATGAGGTTTTTGAAGAGTCTACTCCATTCTCTTCCTCCTCTCGCTCCATCAACTGACGGTTCATTGCAATGGCTTCAGCTGCAAATGACGTCAGGTCTTTGGCACTACTGTTCCTTTATAAAGTAAAGTAGAAAAAAAAAAAAAAGAAAAGAAAAACAGATTTTTAATACAGATTACATAAACGCACACAACGTTCTACAAAGCCTATTAGTAGCTGTGACTAGTTTCATGGTTCTGAACTGCTTCTTTACTAAACACTACATGGATCACTAATGCAGCGGACAATTGGCTCATTCATCACTCAACACAGACTATGAGTTAGCTCGGACTAAAGTGCGTGAGCATATAAACCTACTTTCTGCTCTTTCAGGGATTAGTAGTATTTCGAGCAGGACTATTGCTTACCTTTGTAGGAAAATTGGAGTGGGGAGTGTATTATTAGGTGCACACTGTAGAAAAAGACAAAAAAACACCACAAATTACAATTTGTCACACATCTGTTCCTCCTCCCCCCAAAACAAAACGCAACTTCATTTCAGTCTCCAGCAAATGTAGAAAGAAGTTAGGATTTTCTCCAAAATAACGTCCATTTTGCATTACTTGGAAAACTGTGCAGCACTATTGTAGAGCAGCAATTTTTTTACAGAAACTTACCCCCTGCACCCATGGATGCTGTAACACCTGAGCAGCACTCAGTCTCTTCTTAGCATCCCGAAGCAGCAGTTTGGAGATGAGATCTTTGGCTCCAGAAGAGATGTGAGCCCAATCTTTTTCTGGAAACTCATATTTTCCTTCCTGGATACTGACAAAGAGCATATTCTGGGGATGGAAGAGCAAGAGAACATACAAGTCAGATATGCAAAAAGCATGTAAAGTGTTAAAAAAATATATATATATAAAATTAAGAGGTGGCCAGCCAGTAGTGACAAGGGCAAAGGCGCAATGTCTGGTTGGAGTAGTTTGAAAAATATTAGGACATCAAAATAAATACCTGACATGCAGGGCAGGCTTCACCCCTGTCCCAGCCGCAATCGCTCCCACAATGTCCAACAAATGGCGGGTATCCGCTCAACATAATGTACAAGATGACACCCAGACTCCACAAGTCACAGCGTTTATCATATATGGACGCCTCTTCGTTAAATGCCTCCACCACCTCTGGTGCCATGTATTCCGCAGAGCCACACTGCAGGAACAGAACAGATTATTATTAACATGCATGCAATGGGCAAAACACGTTGTTTACAAAGATACCTCCCCTACTGCAGTTACACACAGGCAGTGTGAGACAAAATGTCATAAAAATAGCAAAGCACTGGGACATAGGATTTTCTCCATTTAGCAGAATTAGATTTATTTTTCTCTTCATTTTCATTTTGAGAAAAGTTTTGTGGGAAAGAAAGGGTTAAGACTAAGCCTGCAGGGTCATTTTTAGATGCTGATGTTTACAACACCACCGTCGTCGTCTGCAAAATCCACCTCTGGGCATATGCCAGGGGACAGTTTGCTTTCTGGGAATTGGCAATGGATAGGGTAGTGGTTGTGCAAGCCTTTGGCATATTGTACAACTATTCCTTTGGGGGTATAGATAACGAGAGGTTTAAAATGTGGGTTGAATGCAAGACAAAAAAGGCAGTGGGGTGTGAAAGCAAAACACTAAACAAGATATATCTGGCAAGACTCAAGAGTGACATTCAGTTCTATACACAAAATCTCCTCCACATTTGAAAACAACAGCGATTCATGTCATCAGAAGACAGATTGGGCTTACACTGCTGTACTTAAGGACCATATGAAGCCTTACAAATGCAGGAGCAAGGCTATTTTTAATACAGGTAAATGCACTACATGTTTCTGCAATAAAGTAACTATTACATTTAGTTTTAAAGGGATACTCTGGGCACTAATACAACTTTAATGCATTTCATAGATTCTGGCCTCATTAAAATGCTGTATTTTTTTGCATGCTCAAATCTCTATAGTCTTTGCACAAAATAAATAAAAGTTTTCCAAAATTCTGCACAATAGCCTGCCCCCTAGTCACACCCCCTCATGCCAGAAAGACTTCCTTATCAAATGTACACACAGTGTTAGCCCAAACAGCACTGAGTGAGCAGATTTTAATACACAACCTGGCTGCAGGCAGTCAGAGAAACTGCAAACAGGTAGTGATATCCTTAGTATAGGACTCCCTGGGTGTCCTCTCCTTCTAATGCATGCTGTTTTGTTATTTAAATAATTCAATACTGTCAGTGGCTGAGCTGTGTGCATACCTAACATATTGAAGTATTTTTTTGGAGTGAGGGGGCACGGCTAAAGAAGCAGACTTCTAATGCAGCATTCTGCAAAACATTTATTTATTTTATGCAAAAACTATAAAGATTTGAGCATGCAAAAAAAAAAAAAAATTACAGCTTATTAATTAGGCCAAAACCTATCACATGCATTAAAGTAGTGTTGATGCCTGGAATGTACCTTTAAGATATAAATAATTTTTTTACGAAAGGACTTATCCAGGGCAGAGGATATGCATGCACGAATAATGAATAATTAAATGTCATGCAGAGTCATCTGGGAAGCCGAGTGAATTGAGAAGGCTAAAGTAAATTGTAGGCCAAAAGAGCAAAACAAAATGTAAAAATTCACGGTCAAAGTTAGCTTTTCACAAGAAGGTTCCTGTCCCAATAGTTTTAACTTGTAGCAAATGCAAAGTAGACCCAGCATTCACGAAATCCAAAAACAGCAAATGGATTTGGAACCCACGAGCAACATATTTGCTATATCTATATTGGGAGTATTACTGCGCATGCATATTAGGTCTCCACCATCGACTGACATTGGCAGGGAGGAGCGTGTGGGCGGATCTGGGTCAGTGACATATGGGGTTATTAACCCCTTCTGCACCACAGGGGGAAATGGGGGGGGAAATGGGGTTTTGATAGAGGGGGAAGCTATTGTTTTCCTGGCACTATAGTTTCCCTTTAAATAGAATGTTTGGTGGATTGAATACATACAGGATGGGCACATACAAAAACTCCTCTTTAAAGCCGCATCCTCAAATATCACAAGTGTGTCTGTGTTTTTAAAGAGAAGTTCATTTTGAGTATGCATCAGTTTTCTACTGTCCCTTGAAATAAACACAGTCGACTCTTACCGGGGTGAGCAGTTCTGGAGTGGATATTGGGGAGCAATCACTGTTTAGTTTGATCCCACTTCCAAGATCAAAATCACAGATCTTTACTGGAGATACCTAAAAAACATCAAAGTAGGGCAGGGTTGGCAAATGAGGCTCGTCTGTAAGTTAATGCAAATCTGGTGCTTACTGAATTGCTGAACATCGTTTACGGATGTTTAATTACCTTTAGAATATCACATCAGAACAAGCATACAAGAAGTAAGGCAACATATACAGTTTGAATTGTAACACTAATGTAGATGAAAATAAAATTACTGTGATAGCATGTGGTTCACGAGCAATCAATAAATACACTCCCTCCTTATATCACTGGCACGCAAAACACAACTCTGGCCTGTACAAGCACTATTGTTAAATGTGTGGGGATACTCCTTTTTATATAAATATGACTTTTGTTTATGCACTTAGATTCCTTTTTGATGGAGTCCAGTGAACAGTCATTTAGTGATCCTATATCCTTCATTTCTAATGGCTAATTACTAGAGACTGCATAGCCAGGACTAACACAATACCAGCCACATAATCAAATAACACAAACTCCACCAATAGGAACACAGTGGGGAAAAATAAAATTGAAATAAAATAACAGACATGCCAGTTGACACGAGACTCCGTCTCAGAGAGGATGCTCATATACACGCAACCTTAATTTACAAACAGACATTGACTCACTTGGTGTGGACTTTCACAAAGAATGTTTTCAGGCTTCAAGTCTCTGTGTGCTATACCTGAAAAGAGAAAAAAAAAAAAATACAATTTTTAGAAATGGTCTCTAGTCAGCCCAAGCAGAATATTTTAACCTTGATTTCTGAAACATACAGACTAAAGAAAATGTTTTCAATAAATCAAAAACCTACCTTTGTTGTGCAAATAATCAAGCGCTCCAGCAATATCTCGAACCACAAAACTAGCCTCTCGCTCGTTGAAATGCCTACGTCGGTGAATGTGGTTCAATATAGAACCTGTGGGCAACAAGAATAGGGTTATGGTGGTCTAAGAGTAAACCAAGCCATTATATAGTCTGAGATCCAATTCCATAATCTGATCTAGAGATCTGTACATTCAAAAACAGATGGACACCAACACAAACCAAATAAAAACACAACTTACCACCACACATCTTCTCAAACACCAAGTAGAATTTGTCCTCTTCTTCAAAGAATTCAATGAGTTCAAGGACATTGCTACCGGAATGACAAGAAAACAAAAAAACAAGAACTAAAGAGGAGAACAGAACAATTTACAACATGGGAATTATCAGGAGAACATACGATAGAGGGATATACATTTTTCATTTTGCGAATGGTTAGATGGACATAAATAAAAATGTTCGCCTGCAGTCATAGAGAGCACACTTTTGGAAATCCAGCTATTCAACTCAAACCCTCGTGGTCATTTTGAACTACAACAAAGTTTAGTGATGATAGGAATTGTGCCTGATCTGTAAGGATTGTTAGATTTTACCTTACTTAGGTATTAATTAAAAAAGTAAAACTTGTATGGTGAAGACCATTAAATATGGTCATATATTTGTTTTTACTAAAAGCTTGGCGGTTAACAGCTATATTATTATAGTATTTATATAGCGATAACTTATTCCGCAGCTATAAAAACTCTATAGAGTGTTTAAAATTACTTTGTTTGCGTGATATGTACTTTGATGTACAGAGTTTGGAATAATATATATTTATATTTTTTTATTACGTCGCTCTCATTAAAGCAGCCTCCCTCATTATAGCAATTGCAATTATAAATCTGTGTACTCACCTGTGCCCTTGACATTGGTACAGCATCTCCACTTCCCTAAACACTCTATTTCGGCTGTGACCAGGCCTCTTCTCAATTATCTGAAACAGATTCAAATCTTAAAATAAATATCCAAAATGTTAATGTGTAACCTTAAACTTAATACATCACGTCACTCTTGGCAGTAAAGGATTGTGATATACAAGCTTCTGCTTGGCACTGGTGATGTCCCCCTTCCACCACCAGTTTAAATCAGAAGCCAAAAGATAAGAGATTTTGCCACCACGAAAAAGCCAACAAGAGGTCACCTCTGCAAGGACACATTTTATGTCATAGTTATTCAGCGGAATAGAAAAAAGAAAAAATCCTTACTTAACATCAATATAAAATTAAATTTTCTCCATAATGTGTGTCTTTACTTCTTGATTTTAGCCCTAGAGAGCTATGCTCGGCACCCTGCAGCAGAATTAAATGATGGCAAATGTTTGACTACAGCTGAAAGCAGTGATCTGGTTAATAGACTTGCATTCTGCAGTCTGTCCATTGTTATAACAGATGGGAAACATGAAGGGGGACTGCAGAATTCCAGAACACAAGGCCGTCTACATCAGTTTATTTAATGGAACACCCGCCCTTCAGAATTGAATTTCAAAAGCTAATCTAACTGAAAAAGGGTGAAGTATGCCATCTAATCAACATTAAGGGATACTATAGTCACCAGAACAACTACAGCTTATTGTACTTGTTCTGGTGAGTAAAATCATTTCCTTTTTTGAATTAAAGAATGTATTTTCAGAAAAAATGCAGTGTTTACATTACAGCCTAGGGATCCGTCCATTGGCCACTCCTCTTATGGCTACTAAAGGTGCTTCCTGAGCAGTGCTGCACACTGTGCATCACTGATTTTCAGTGTCTCCATCCTCTGCACGGAGACACTGAACTTTTAGAGATGGGTTGATTGAATTAATCTCTTTGAGGAGATGCTGATTGGCCAGGGCGGTGTTTTACTTGTGCTGGCTCTGCCCCTGATCTGCCTCCTTGACAGTCTCAGACAATCCTATGGGAAAGTATTGTGATTGGCTCAGAAAATCACTTTTTATGATGTCAGCCAAGCAGACAGATAAGGGGCAGAGGCAGCAGCTGAACACTTGAATACAAGTAAGGTTTTACTATATTTAGGGAGAACAATATAGGGTCATGAATACAGGTTTGTGCTTCTGACCCTATAGTGTTCCTTTACATTTTTACAAATTAACATTATTCTTGTAAATCACATAAAAAGTAATAAAATGTAGTGATCTACAATCCAGTTTTTCCAGTACTCTTTAGGAAGTTGTAGTGAGTGAATGAGTTGCAAGTTTAATCAGAGTCCACACACAGAGTACGGTCTCCTGGATACAATTTTGACAGCTGTACTAAGCTTCTTTTTTTTTTTTTTTTTTAACATATGATCACTCAGTCAATCTTGCTTCTCGAGTCAGCATCTAAATAAGGTACCATGCGTGTATTTAGCATGATGTCAGCAGAGGTAAAGACAGCACAAGGCTCTTTATTCTGAACCCAAGGCAAAACCAGTTAAGCACACTCATTACTGGTATTCAATATCCGCAGATTCAAAATAGAAATAATTCTACGCAGAACAGGATTTCCTCGTCATTGTTTCAAGTGATTAAATGACCATTTCATGTGTAAACAAAGGAATTCGTGTTTTTTTAAAAAAAAAAAAGGAAGGGAGGAGCCGTCTAATCTAAAAGAAAACAGCAGCTCACCTTTACTGCATATTCCTTGTTGGTAATTAGGTTAATGCAGCTCTGGACTCTGGCATAAGCACCTTCACCAAGAACTTCATCCTGCAGTTGGTACATATCTGTACAGAACACAAAGTATCCTCATTACCAAAAAGTGGAATTGTGCAGCCACTTCACATATTGGACAGACTGTCACCCAACCCTGAAAAAGTAGTATTTCATAAAAACAGAATCTTTATGAAACACTAGTTTTGACTGTGTTGGAATTTTACTTGGTCTTTGTATATTTCTTAAACACTTGGGCGGAGGTACAGTGTCAATCCCAACAGCCGTGACACCAGTGCAGGGAATGGGCTCTGTCTAGGAGGATCCCTCGGTCTCCTCCATAGACCTCAATACTGTAATCCCACGCAAGCGCAAGACTACAGCAGTGACACTGGCTACTGGCCCTGAAGAGCCAGGAGCTGAAGAGGACCGGCTGGAGGAAGATGCAAGGGAAAGATTCAGGTAAGTAAATCTGACTTTTACCTGCCCCGCACCAGCCACCGGACCACCAGTGCTGATGTCACCTTTGGGAGTCTTCACATATTCGGCAAAGTCTCCAGACGGTGACAGCGCCGCTTTAAAGTATGCTAAATGGGGGAAGCCTGCAAATAAGATCTGCATTCTTTCAACTTTCCTGTTTGGGGATTCTCGGAGAATGCTACATTATACCTTAAAGTCAAACTGTCATTAGTAAGACGTTAATTGGCTGTGCCGTTTATTTTTGAAAAAGAAATATTATAATCACTAGTGTTGTTGTTTTTAGGGTTCATGCACTGCCAGGCACTGTATGCCAATGAAAAAAGGAAATGCCCAAGTGCTCATAACACTTTTTTATAGATGCCCAAACATACCCTTAGACATCAAAGTCACATAAAACACTGACATGCAATGGAGGTAAGTGCGTATTCTTTTTTTTCAACTTAACCTCTACTGCCATGTTTACAAATGCGCAACAGCCTCCCAACGCTTTCCTATGGGGAAGTATTGGATTGGCTGACACAGTCAAGTTTGATGATCTCACCCACAAAGGAGGGGCAAGACGCTGTGAAAAAAGCGCGGCATGGGATAAAAGACAAGTAAAAATCGCCTTTTTAAAGGCAGGTGAGGGGGGCAGGGCATTTTATTAGTGATATTTACCACTATAGTATCAGGAATACATGTTTGTATGTCTGAGTGTTCCATAGTGTTCTTTTAACTCAAGCTCTGTAAGTATAAGTCACAGCTTTTATTCCTGACTTGCTAGAACACTGGTGTCCCATTTGAAAATCCCCACGTATGCAGTGCAGAAGCTTAAGGACGTGAAAAATAAATTCTCACCTTCAAATCGTCCGGTGAAGCTGTCTGTTGCTCTGCATCGCTTTTTCTTTTTTGTTCTTTTCTTGGCATCAGGAATGTCGATCGGGGAACTCGATGGCATATCTGATGCAATCGAAAAAAAAAAAAAAAAAAGACACAAAACCAGAATGTTAAATGTTCATTTTCCCGCATGATTCCAGATTTCAAAACACTGTCCATTTAAATGTTATTTGCTTACGGTACCCTGCATAAGCAGTGCACGGCGGCCATGACACTGATCATTATTATTGTAAACAGAACTTTCCAGTCCAATACTAGCTGTATCTAATACAGAAATTATTCCATTATTTAGTTATTAGTGACCTGGCACTATCGAAATCATGCTACTAGAAGACAATCATATTCATTTAGTATGGGCAATCGACACAAACATTGCACAGAGACAAGGAAAAACAAAATCACAATATTATACACACACTTCAGTGGGTTATTTAATGCAGATGATGCTTGTAGGGACTACTCAAAACTAATTCTCAATTGTGGCACTATACGGTTACATTCATACATGGCTTAGTAACAAAGGAAGCCATTGTGGGGACATATAGAAACAAATGTTGTAGGGTTGCGTTCTCTGCACAGTGAAACTTGGTGGGGGAATGGGGGGATGGAGGGGGAGGTCAGGAAGTTGTCTTGATAACTCGTAGAGCAATGCTACAATGGAAGGTGCTCGATGTTGCAGACTTGAAATTCTAACAACTTACAATAGTTTAAAATGCAATGCTATTTACCAGGGCGTGTGGGGCAGTCGAAATTAAATACAGTCTCCATGTTTCTGGATCCCATCCTATAATCCACCATCTCAAAAGGGTTTTGACCCTGAAGTTGAAAGATAAACAAAAGTTTTAAAATGCACAGTTTGAACATACAAACCATCTATTTATTTGTACGGAAAGCAAATACAGGACGTTGAAATGCCTATTACGGCACAGCACGAAGGCTTAGAATTACATTTTGTCAACAAATCATGTTTAGGTGTGTTCCCCCTAAGAATTTAACAGGACTATATATTAATGTAGAAGTTACACTTTCAGCAAAATATTTATTGATGTACTGCAGATTTTGATTTGTGGCGTTTTATCAGTTAGAGATTTAGCATGGAATCGGAAATAAATAATTGTGACTTTGCACGAAACCTTTCAACAGAAATTAAAAGAAAAAATATATTTTTTGTACATTCGGTTATACGGTTATATAATGGGGTTTGACATGACAATGTAATATTTCAACAAGGAATTTTAAACACAAACTTGTGCACATCTCATCGGAGACAAATCCTTGAAAATATAAGTAATGTTTCTAGATTATTCAGTGCATTGTGGCAGCATTTGGGGTTAATGAAAATATGCTTCGGAATAGGACCATCCTCTGTGTACAGCGCCGCCCCCCTACGTATGATCTGCCTGGCAACAAGTCTTATTTTAAAGTGTGGGAGCGTGCCTCGGATGGATGTCACAGTGAAGGCGTGATCTAATGCAGACATAAAATACACACAGACCAGGAACAAAAGGGGATTTTGAAGGCGGGGATTTTATACTGCCCCAGAGGGCACTGAACGTCATTGGATGTTGGTGGTTAGCTCCCTTGCAGAAATGCTTCACACTTTTCAAATCCACAGAATCATCTAGTTAACCCATCTTGTGCTAGGGACTGCAAAGCCACCGATTCCAGTTAGAGGATTTAACCCCTGTATTTGTGTCAATACAAAGGCATTTCGCATTGATAAACATCCCTCTTTTCTGAAACTTTGTGTTGATATGCTCGTCATAATAAATTGGGGGTGACACCAATGGGCCTTGGTTCTGTTTGCCTGCTGTTTTGTATTTTGTTTAAGATTCAATACAGAAAGGGCATTTTTGCTGGAGTTGCATATTTTAACATGCTTGTAAGATATCGAAGGTAAATATAGTCCACTTTTTACATTGACCTATTTTTAAAGCAAATTTACATGTTTTTGCTACACCAATAACAATATATAAATAATAAAAAAAATAAAAAAAAATAAGAACGTATATTAGTGTGACATCCCCCCTTTCAGTTTTATAGCTGTTTTCCTTGTTCATGAAGAAGCAAATGTAAAATTATATGGGTATTGAAGGAAGGCAACAAAACTTTTTGCAAAGTAGCAAGCCCTCTAATGAAAAAAAAACTACAACATTACCCCATAGAAAGCAGTACACCCATTTAACACTGTGTAAAAGTATCCTTAGCCCAAATGAATAGCAGCACCACCCCCATAGCCATTCCATCCTACAATTTATCATTTGTGACCAGTGCAATTAGTGACAAATAGCAGAGACAACTGGTTTGATGCAGTCAATAGTCCCATTCAAAACTACTAATTTACTACGGACATAGATGTATGGACACTGCAAACACTGTTTAATATAATATAGCTATATGGCTACATTTCTTTTACATTAGTCTATCAAAACAAGATGCGCATTGTTTATGGATAAATTTTATCCCTAAAAAAAAACAAAGTTGAAAGTGGTAAAATAACTCCTCACCTTAAAGGAACGGTGAAATCCTTTCATCTCTAGACTTTTCTTCTGTACCATGTTGGCCAAAAAATTTAGAAAGTGTAATTCCAAGATGCAAAAAAAGATGGGGCGAATGTCAAAAATGGATGACTAAATTTGGGGGAGATGAGTGAAGAATAAAATAATTTGGGAGAGCCGAGATCCCAGATTGCTGGAAAGAAACCCTGTGTGAAAGAAAATTTGCATGACTTCAATATTTTACACCAACTCAGTAGAACAAACTTTATTTAGCTATTAAACATTGTACAGCGCTACGGAACTTGTTGGCGCTTTATAAATAAATAATAATTATGTCCAGGCTTAGATCTCTTTTCCTAGTTTGTAAAATTCCACACATTCTCCTCGTCCAGAAATCTTTTTTTATTAGAAAAGCAAAAAACTGTGGGCTAGAGTTAATTGTGATTAGGGCCCAGAGCAAACCCCTACTGTGCTTCACTTTTACAGTCCTCAAAACATTAATTAGCAAGTCAGCAATTTTTCTTTTTTGGCACTGCAATGGTTATACGACTGTATAACTGGGAAAACGACGCCTCCCCTTTCATTCCAAGAAACCGCGTTACAGTTGGAAAATTGAGACGACATAGGGGAGGGACTGGAAAATCAAAGTGGAAAATTTCAAAATCTTAAAAATTTTATGTTCTCCATGTGTACATCGAGTTTATATATATATAGTAGATTTTTCTTCTTATACTAAACTACACACTGTACTGTAAGTGTTTAAACCAATAAAATGCTGCATGTTCAGTATTTTTTTCTGAAATCCTATAGAGTGGAAGAAATATTCCACACAAAAAACAAACAAACAAACCATTTAATATGTTACAAAAAATAATCACAAAAACAAACCACAACAACTTATAAACTAGTACTAACATCATAATTTCTCACGTACATCAAAGTAAGACAATGCTAAAGTAAAATAAAATACTTGTGAACCTCACAACTTTGATGGGGCATCAAATTAAATATATGTTTGTTTCAGCAGATTAAGCTGCAATGCCCAACAATACCAGGTCTCTAAATATTAACCACACAAACATCTGAGCACTACAAATGAGTAGTTAACACTCAAATGGGGTCATTTTTTCACAAAGACAAAAACTGAGATTTATACACTATTATGAAAATATTTTAGAACAAACCTTATAATTCCACAACAAACATGATTTACAAAGAGTCACATTAAAAATCAAACATTAAGGGACTTATTGCCCTTTCAAGTAGTATTTTGCGTAACAATATATTTTTCCGCCCTGTATTTTAAATTAAAGACCCGAGCAAAGTCTATGGGGTTGAGTGAAACATTTCACAGCACATGCAGAGATAGTTTAAGTAAATCAACTACATTGCAACTGTTGTGTAGTTGGGAAATGTACTACGATTCCAACCAAGGGGCTGTACAAAAAAATAAAAAATAAAAAATAAATACTCAGATCTCAAAACAAATTTTGTTCACAAATTCACAATAGCACTCCAATGTACACAACGATCACCATCAAAAAACAGAGCTCAGATATGCAAGCGATCAGTTAGAAGATACTGCCAAGTACTGAGGAATGAGTGCACATTAAGTGTTGTTGACATTGTATGTACTATTGCCTGTCCCAGATAAATCCAAGGTGTGGAACCCACACAAATGCCTTGTTTTATCAGTACAGTGTTTAAGACTTAACAGTCCTTTGAATAAATCATTTATAAGGGCGTCAAACGTCTACATAATAAGATGATTAATGTGGGGCATTGTTTTCTCTTTCAAATTTTTCCCAACTATAAATATCATTACTGTTCCCAACAGGTCGTTGAGAAATATTTAAACGCAATATAATAATAAAAAATAATAATATGGAATTATAGTCTTTTGTAATTTTTTCCACACCTACCACTTTGAATAGTTACAAAATCTACCCAAAAATATAGGAAATGTATTACAGCACATTTTGTGACATGCGCAGAGATATTATACTTTGACTCTGGACCTTCTGTGGCTAACTAATCATCCATTTGTCTCAAAGCTTGTCTTGGAGGCCTGGCACCAGAGCAACTACAATGAGTTCAATTCCATTTATAAGCAATTGTGAGAGTATTACGAACAGTAGCAAAAGCAATATACATTAAAAGGACTTTCACATTTTTTTTTTATTATTATTATTATAACTACTTGAAAACCCTTACATTTTATTAAAAGCATCTGCCTGACAATTTATTAAAAATTAAAAAAAAAAACTAAAAGGGGAATGGAAAAAAAATAAACCTCGTCCTTAATTTTGAGGTGTTGCTTAATAATTCATAATGTTAACAAACATACTGATCAACCAGGCTATCCATAACTAGTTCAGTTCAGCAAGTCATACCGAGAAAACTCAGGTAGGCCTCATACACATGCTTGGACTAGATTGCAAAATACGATAACAATCAATACTATTTATAGAAGCTTAGGGACTGTTCAAATACAATTTTTCCACCAGTCTAACAGCTTTCGGTTATCGAGTGATAAAAAAAAAAAAAAAAATAACTGTACAGGGGAAAAAAAATAAAAAAATATTCCTTGATCAGATGTCATGCAGGAAGTAATCCATGTTGTATTTGTGTTGCAGTAGAACAGGAGATTGCTGTATAAAAACGAATTGAGGAAGTATCTAGCTGTTTTTTTATGCATATTCATAAACCAGCTTCGAAAACACACACCCCCTCTTCCATGACACCCAATTTAAGATTTCTGATATGAAGGCAGGATAAACAGAACAAGCCATAAACAACAGCCACACTACAATGACCTCATATGCTGCATTAGCAAAGGAATAGAATAGCACAGACAAAGTCTCTGTACAAGAAACATAACAGCAATAGAACACAGACATCCCAAAGCGTCAAGGCTGCCCAAAATTGATTGCACATCTAATCCTTGGGGTCATAAGACCATCTGTTGCAGTCATTGCTGAATACAATAAGGCACCTCTAACCCTTCAAGTTCAAAATCTCAATACATTAACATGTAACAAGCAAACATGCATTATCCTTCTAAACAAAGTTTAAATTGTATAATGTATATCTATGTACCCAGATTACGTAGTGGGTAGTTTTAAGGGACCCTGTACATTATTTTACACACAAAAGAAAAATCATGAACTGTATTTATAGACATTATGTGCAAATTAATGCATCGAGAAAAATCAGAATAAAAATAAATATGCAAGCATTAATTCACGGCGCAGAAAATGAGTTTTGATTCTAATAAAACACACAAACGAATTAGAAATATATTCATTTCAAATAATAAACTTTATTTCAGATTAATGTTTATTTTAATACCAGAATCTATATTGCTGCACTCACAGCTAACTGTATCAAAACATGATTAAATTCTCTCAAATAAAATGATCTAGATTCCAATGCATCCAGGATATAACCTACATTGTTCTTGACTATAACATACTACAAAAGATCAGTCCACACTCCTGTAGATTGCAAGCTCTGCAGCCCAGTCTCATCACAAAGACTCACAGCAGGAAAAACAAAAGATCTCCTATGGACCTGGGGCCAATATATCACTCGGGCGCCCACCAGCCTCTGGCTACTTACCTGAAGGGCTCTGCAGTGAACACTGCTCTCAGCCTCTGAGACACCTACAGCTGTTTACATGAGAGGGCTGGCGCTGCACGCAGTTTCAGAGCCTTTTATATCATCTCTTCAGTGGAGGCGTGCTCTGTTCTCACATGATAGCAGAGGCAGAGCTTTGTGCTGACAGGATAGAGAGCACCCATTGCTCACATGATGACAAGGCCTTCCCCCCTTTAGGACGTGCAACTAATCACTGGCTTAGTCTGAATGCTGTTCCTAGACCAGTTCCAACCAACTTTTTTAGCCATTCCTCCCCTTTACTGACTTCAAAACACATTGCATCACACAGCCCAGCAGTTTACAGCAGTTCAGATTGATCTGCATTCCTGCTATGCTTTGCATTGCAATGCATGGGAAAATGTACCCCTGTTAGTGTAGCTGGTTCCTCACTAGCAGAACACAAACATTCTAAGGCAGAACACAAACATTCTATGGCAGAACACAAACATTCTATGGGTAGAACGTTCAGTATTCCCCCACACAGAGCAGCATTCTCAGCTGTTTAGGAGGAAGGGATATGTTAGAACAGGGAGCATGATGCAATCTTCAGTAAGAGCGTCCATTTCCTATCTGGCATGAGTGTGCGTGTTTTAGTGCATGAATAGTGTGACCACAGAGCTCTTACAATTATAAGATCCATTTCACAGAGCTCCAAATGTGAGCTATGGCTGCATCATGAAAGGTGTTTGCGTGTGACCAAAAATAATTCTGACGCAATTTTCTGAAAGTGGTACAGTAACCATAGAAACCAATAGAAGGTTCCTGCTGTCTGTTCCACTTTAAATAACTTTGTCACAGACATTCTGTCATATATTACATCAGTTCATATAATTTGCTAGTTTTTAAAAGAAAATCTTTTATGATCAAAAACATTATTCTGTGTTATTTTTTGCACCGATACATACTACACCAGTGGGTTTGTTTTTTTGTTGTTGTTTTTTTTTTCTCATATAAAAAGATACGTGTCCCATCATGTAGTAAATGCAATGAAAACATCTATAGAAAAACTGATCGTTAGCTGTGGGAATAAAACGATATTCAAAGTATTCTGAAATAACGTGTGTTTGTGGACTGAACTCACTTTTTGGAAGGAACGCTCTCTAGGATTTTCCTAGATATTTTGAAGCTTTTAATACACCCTCTCTTCATAAACTCGCCAGTTTTCACATACAACATAATCAATAAATCAAATAAATCCAAAAGGCATGATTTTTACAAATTTACATTTTTTTTTGTAATGAAAGTGTTTTGTAATTGGGAATTTAGGGTTGGATACAATGGTGAAATGTATGGGTTCCTGGAGTGGAATTCCTGTCCTTTTATCTTAGCTTTCCTCCAGATACCAAATCCCCATTAAGCACAGCGTGAGTGTGTCATTAAAGGAACATTTTGGCATTAGGAATACAAATCTCTATTTCTCAATGCTATAGTGACTCTCTCTCCAGCTCTAAATAGGTGTGTGTCCCCACCACATCGTTTGGCATAAAAATTTGAAAAAAGAAAGATTTACTTAATTTGTTCCAGCGCCAAGGCTCCAGTATTGCTGCTTACCTCTCCAACTCCTGGGCGTCATTAACAATGAGGCAAGGCCTCCATTGGCACGGTCCAATCCAATGCTCTTTGTAGAAGAGCATTGGGGAACTAATGCGCATGCTCGACAAGCACGCATTCATTTATTAAACTTTCCTATAGGAAAGCATGGAATCAATATTTTCCTATGTGGTTTCCGTATCACGTGATCTTCACAAACACCTCTAGTCGCTGTCATACTAACAACCCTGGGGTGAGGACTTAACATTGCAATGTAAAAATTGCAGTTTCTCAAAAACAGCAGTGTTTTACATGTCAGGGTTAAGTGGACAAGGACACTGAACTCAGATCATTTCATTGAGATGTGGCTATATTAGCTTAATATTTGCAATCCACTGGTCATTTCCTGGTTTTCGGATATAACTTTGTTAAACGGTCTAAGGACTATGACTACTGCAGCCTGCCGTAAGTGTTATGGCGTCATGAGCAGGGTCGGAGCAAGGAACGTTGACTACACAGACGAAAATGTTTTTTTTTTTGTCAATCTTTCTTTTATTATGGCATTTGAGTCACGTTTAACAGAATAGAAAAAAGGAGTTAAATCATCAGACATAAGACAAATGTATCAACGTATAGCAGAGGAAACTCCTAAGCGAAGCTGCCACATTTTTATAATAGTAAGAAGACAAGTTATATTAGGCTAGATATTCATGAATGGATTGTTGTAGGATTAACATGCTAAAGACACGGTATATCAGGCTAGATCTTAACCCCTTAAGGACACAACTTCTGGAATAACATGGAATCATGATGGAATATTTCCATCATGTGTCCTTAAGGGGTTAATGAGTAAACTGCGATGGCATGTACATACTAAAAACAGAGTGTTTCAGGCTAAATATACATGAGAATATTATTGTAGCATAAACATCATGTTAGGGTTACTGGATTGTAAGAACACTGAGTCCCCCTCCTTGTGGATGGTTGCGTTTTACAGGAATCGGGCACTGGCTCCCTAAGATGGGTATGATGGTGAGTGCTTTGTTTTTGGGTGTTACCGTCGCAGCTGGTGGGCTAGGTATGTGCCTTGAGTATGTACCTATACTAGGCAGTGTGATAGCAGCTAACTTGTAGTTTGTGTGATAGCAAGCCGCTTCTATTAGTATCAAGCGTGCTAAATAAAAGATAAGGGGAGCTACCGCATATTGACAGGTAAAATAACCAAATTTAGAGCCAAACCATGTGTAAGAATGTAGGTGTAGGCTGGCATTCTATAAACAGGAGGTTAATCCAGCATATAGACCAGACCACCAGCTATATAAGTGCTTTGGGTGTAAAGTCCTGGATCAGTCTACGAGGTGGCAGGTTGAGGGGGTTGGGCGACATCATGAGGCAGAGTCCAAGCAAGTCCTCCCCATAGCCCCAGGTCGTCATGAAGGCCTGCATCCATGGACCATGAACTTAATTGCTCATATAGGAGTCTGAGTTCTTCCCTTGCAGGGGACGGTGTTGGAGACCAATGGATAGTTGCCGCCTGCTGCACCGGATCCTCCTCGTCGGTGGCCGATGCACCAAGCACATCCCTGTTCGTCTTCAGCCCGGGTAGGCCCATTGTGGGAGGCCGCAACACTGCTGTGGAAGGAGCGCCCGCTAGTCTCCCGCCTCTCTTCCCTGCGCTTACTCTCCTCAACCGGAGCCTGTGACGTCTCGAGGTGCGCTGATAGCTTGGCCCAGAAGCTGTCGAACAACTCAGCCAGGCGCTGCAGTATGCGCTCTGTGCTGTCACGGCAGGCTGCTGTGCACAAGGCGATTGTTTGTCCGCCATCTTGAGGTGAGCCGCCTTGTCTAAAATCTGTGTCAGTGCAGGTGCTTGGGGGCTGCTGTAGTCTGCTGTAGTCAGAGGCGGTCATCAGGGGGGACCAGGATAACCCCCGCCAGTCCAAAGGGGGAGGGGACAGCAAAGCGCCGGTCAGAGAACTGGGAGAGCAGCCGTCTCACCCCAGCTCAATCTCAGGTTTGCCTCAGGTCTCAATCAGGATACTTTGATGCCATACGGGGTCATGTAAGGTATCCCCATGTACACCGTCGGCAGCTTAGCAGGTTGGTTACTGATTTAGGTCGGTGTAAGTGTGTGGCCCGCAGTTAGCCCTGGTTTTCGGCAACAGAGCACGTTTGATCCGAATAGCAGGCAAGTTCTGCCCCCACACAAATGCATTTTGCCGCAAACTCTTCACCCCTCTAAAAGAATGCATTTACTCCACATTCAATCAGAAACACATGGATTTCAAACAATTCCAAATTAAAGGCCAAAATAACCTGGAACAATTATCCAAGCCATACTTCCAATTCGGCTACTTCGGACTTAAATTTAACATTCACTTTTAATTCACTTTGAAATCCCACAAATTCTTACTTTAGTGCGTAATACTGATAAAGTATTGCTTTAGATCTTCTAATACATATCCATGTCACACAATACCGTGAGCTGCATTGCTTTGGACTTTTTTTCTTTTTTTACACTTAGATATTTGTAGTGGACTACAACTGTGGGATAAGCCTTGACCGACTCGGCATTAAAACTCACAGTAATGTGCAATGTTTATCAATTCATCACAGATCTACACAACAATATAACTCACAGTAATGTGTAATGTGTGAGGATTTATCACAGATCTCCTCCACATTAAGACTCACAGTACTGTGCATAGAAGTGTATCACAGAGCTCCTCAGCTATAAAACACAGAGTAATGTGCATTCTGTGTGACAGTTTCCCAGAGCTCCACTGTAATAAACCTCACATTAATGTGATGTGATGTATGGTGGCTGTTTCATATGTGTGTGTGTGTTAACATTGTGTGTGATATGTGTGTTGGCTGTATGCATGACTGGATTTGCCAGAAGGCCACCAAAACCATGGCCTTGGGGCGGCAGACAGGAGAGGGGCGGCATGGCCAGTGGGGAGTTCAAAGATTTCCTCACCGGCCAGCCAAGGAACATGAAAGTCGACATTGCAAATCAGGCCCTGACCATAACATTTGCCATTCCTCTTGGCCTATGTAATTCCACCTCTTCCTATGATTACCACGTAGAAGATGCCTTCTAGACTTCTAGTGTAGCAGAGCTCTGAAACATTTCCCGGCACTGGTCGGAAGGAGCTGTTTGCACCAACTGGGTTTTCCTTCGGACAGCCAGAGATCAGCTTCCACCCTCCCTTGCCCAAGGTAAGTCTTGGGGGGAGGAGGGGGCACACTTTATTTTTTCTTTAATCAAAAATGCTTTTTTTTTTTAAAGTTGTCCCACAGCCCCTGTCCTAGCCACTACATTCAATACACCCCCAATATAGTTGCTGAACCCTCCACAACCCCTGTCCTCCCACTATAGCCAATATCCCCCCCACCTTAGTCCCTGCTGTCTCACTATAGCCCCTGTCCTCCCACCATAGCCATTACAGCCACTGTGACCCGACTATAGCCCCTGTTCCATCACCAGAGCCACTGCCCAGTACAGCCCCTATCCCCCCATTAGAGCCCCTATGCCCCACTATACTACCTGTCCTCCAATAAAGCTCATATGCCCCACTACATCCCTTGTCCTCCATTACAGCCACTATTCCCCCACTACAGCCCCTGTCCTCCCATTACAGCCCCTACCACTCCCACTACAGCCCCTGTCCTCCCATTACAGCCCCTACCACCCCCACTACAGCCCCTGCCCTCCCAATACAGCCCCTACTGCTGCCCTCGCCCCCATATTCCCACTATCCTCCTACCAAGGTCCTTATCTATAACACCACAGCCTCTGTCCCCCAATTACAGCCACTATATCCGCACTTCAGCCCCTATACACCATTTTCCTCCAAACACAGCCTCTCATCCTCCTCAACACACACACAAAAAAACTGTCTCTGCAACACACAACAGTTTCTATAACCCCAAAATGCACACTACACAAACAAACCCAGATATAAGCAACTCCTTATGCAGCCTACACACATATACACCCTTTGACATCACCAATCAGGACGCATTAACTTCCACATTAGCAATATGAGAAAAGAAGGCTAGATAGGACGTGCCAGGTATGTTTTAAAGGGTATTAGAGGTGAATATTGCTTTAGGAGCTGTTAAACATTAGGTTCACCTGTCATGACTGGTTAGTTTTTTTTAGACAATGTCACAAACTAATCTGGTTTTAATCTTCTAAATAATCTATTTAAATCTTGTTTTAGTATTTTTTTTTTTATTTCTAATCTACTAATTACTTATTATCTTATTTCACACTTACCAATCAAGAACCACAACTTTCTAAACTGACCCTAACAACAACATAATTATATACAAAACAAAGAAAATAACACTCTAAAACCAAGAAAAAAAAGGTTGCAAAAAAAAAAAAAAAAAACAGTAGCAGTCATCTAATCTCTTTAATTACTGTAAATGGGATTAGAATACTTGTTACATTTTTGTATAAAAATGTGTGGGGCTTTGATTGACTGGTTTTAGAATAAAACTGATGGTGATATTTTTAAACTTGAAAAAACCTTTACACTTGAAAAGACCTTTACACCTGATAGATCAGTTTGGCACATGGCAGTATAATATATGTAATATGCCACCATAGGCAGGAAATGACCTCCAGTTGGATGTCTGATAATGCATTAAAACGTTATGCAAAAAAAAACCTCACCTTTTAAATTCGCAAAGCTGTAAAGTAAGGTGGAACTGCTTAAAGTGGCAATCTAACTGCCATGAACATTACAGTCTGTTAAAGTTGTTTTGGTGTTAGTAGGATAAGGGATCTCCATTTCCGTGTCAAACCATTTTTGAGAAATGTGCCAAAAACTAGAAAACATGTTTGGCATTGATCACGTCTCTCTGTTCCAGTTCTGCACCTGGTATGTGTACTCATCGCACATGCACAAGTTGGACGGATTTCACATAGCAAAGAAGAAAGTAGAAAATCCTACTCTGACATTTGGGTTGCGTCAATGGTGTGCTTAAAGAACAATTGTCACCTCAAAACTATTTTTTTTTTTTTTTATATAATAATCTTTTCAGATTGTTCACATTTTTTTTTTAAAAGAGGGAAAAGTATCCCAAACTTTATTTATGACAGATTCCTTCAGCCATATACATACACCCTGGGTCAGATAGTGTTTGAAAACTGACATTTAGTCACTATGGTCTTCCCTGCCTCTGTGTATGGAGTGAAGCCGAGAAGACCATAGAGGCTAACCAGGGCCGGACTGGGGATTCCAAAGCAGCTCTGGAAAAAAAATCTATGCCAGCCCCATAAGTCACTGCGCCATATATTGTCGCATGTAATATGTAAGGCTATGTCTTGCCACCCTAGATGACTGAGATATATATCTTTTTCCAATATAAAATATTGGTCCTTTCAGAGTAAAATCTTTAATTATACAGTAAGCATACTCACATGCAGACACAGAATCTCACTGACACAAGCTGATTGATACACAGCCTCATAGACAAACAATCTCACTGATATACATAAGGTCATTAAAATAAAAAAACAAGCTCACTCAGTAGCAGTCACACACACACAAGCAAGCCCACTCACTAGCAGGCGCGCACACACACACACAGCTTAATGTAGTGGCACTGGTGTCTACAGCCTGTCCCTGCAGGCTTTTCAATGTAAACAATGACTTTTTAGAGAAAAGGCAGTGTTTACATTGCTTAATAGTGACAGACACTCAGACGGTCACTAGAGGTGCTTCCTGTGTCAGTGCGGATTGGCTGAGATCATCAAGCTTGATGATCTCAGCCGTAGATGCAGGGCCAGTTGAGGGGAGACCAGCACGACGTGGGGGGGAAAAAAAAAAGGTGAGTAAAAACACACATACACACACACATACCATGAGACACACACCGTGACACAGACAGAAACACAGACACACCATGACACAGACAGACACACACACACCATGACAGAGACACCTTAAAAAAGACACACACACCATAACACAGACCTTGACACAGACACATACACGACACAGACAGACACAGAGAGATCGTGACACAGACACACACACACCGTGACACAGACACACATTACATGACAGAGACAGACACACACCATGACAAACACACACACCATGACAAACACACACACACCATGACACAGACAGACCGTGACACAGACAGACGCACACACCATGACAGTCAGAGACACACACACCATGACACAGACAGACACACACACACACACCATGAAACAGATGCACACACCATGACAGACAGAGACACACAGACACACACCATGACCAGGCTTGATGATCTCAGCCGTAGAGGCAGGGCCAGTTGAGGGGAGACCAGCACGACGTGGAAAAAAAAAAAAGTGAGTAAAAACACACATACACACACACATACCATGAGACACACACCGTGACACAGACAGAAACACAGACACACCACGACAGACAGACACACCATGACACAGACAGACACACACACCATGACAGAGACACCTTAAAAAAGACACACACACCATAACACAGACCTTGACACAGACACATACACGACACAGACAGACACAGAGAGATTGTGACACAGACACACACACACACCGTGACACAGACACACATTAGATGACAGAGACAGACACACACCATGACAAACACACACACACCATGACACAGACAGACCATGACACAGACAGACGCACACACCATGACAGTCAGAGACACACACCCCATGACACGGACAGACACACACACAACATGAAACAGATGCATACACCATGACAGACAGAGACACACAGACACACACCATGACCAGGGGCGTATTAGCCGCGAGGCAAACAAGGCATTTGCCTTGGGCAGCATTTTTCAGGGGGCGGCAAAAAAGCCGCCCCCAAATGCCCAGGGCAAATGCCTTGTTAGCCTCGCGGCTAACAGACATGCCGGGGTGGCGCGCTGGGCGGGCGGGCGGCTGGCGAGGGAGCTGAGCAGAGCTGAGCTCAGGGGAAGAGCTCCCTCGGCGGCCGCCCGCCCAGCGCTGCAGCCACTGGACCCCAGGGAGAGGAAGAACCCCCCCCCCAGCATTCCCAAAGGTAAGGAGGCTGGGGGGGTTAAATAAAAATTTTTTTTTAAAAAAAACACAAGTGAGTGTTAGTGTGTGTATGTTAGTGTGTGTGTGTGTGTATGTTAGTGTGTTTGTGTGTGTGTATGTTAGTGTGTTTGTGCGTGTGTCTGTTAGTGTTAGTGTGTGTGTCTGTTAGTGTGTGTGTGTGTGTCTGTTAGTGTGTGTGTGTGCGTGTGTGTGTCTGTTAGTGAGTGTGTGCGTGCGTGTGTGTGTCTGTTAGTGAGTGTGTGCGTGTGTCTGTTAGTGTGTGTTTGCCTGTTAGTGTGTGTTTGCCTGTTAGTGTGTGTGTGTGTTTGCCTGTGAGTGTGTGTGTCTGTTAGTGAGTGTGTCTTTCTGTTAGCTAGTGAATGCGTATCTGTCAGTGAATGTGTGTGTGTGTGTATTTAGAAGGCGGAGCAGGGGGGAAGGGTTGGGTGGCGGTTGCGCGGGTGGGGGTAGCGCGGGGGATGCCTGAGTTTTGTCCTGCCTAGGGCAGCACAAAACCAGGATACACCACTGACCATGACACAGACGCACACACCATGACAGACAGAGACACACAGACAGACACACCATGACACAGACAGACACACCATGACACAGACAGACACACACACACCATGACACACACACACCATGACACAGACACACACAATGTCTACCTGGGGCTGTGGGGAGCTCCCTTGGCGGCCGCAGGGGGAGCTGGCTGTTCTGCCTCTGCTCCCCCTCCCCAGCGCACTGCTTACTGAGACCGGGGCCGGAATATGACGTCATCTTCCGGCCCCGGTCTCTTTCTAGCGCGCTGGGGAGGGGGAGCAGAGGCAGAACAGCCAGCTCCCCCTGCGGCCACCAAGGGAGCTCCCCACAGCCTCAGGTAGACATTGTGTGTGTCTGTGTCATGGTGTGTGTGTGTCATGGTGTGTGTGTGTCTGTCTGTGTCATGGTGTGTCTGTCTGTGTCATGGTGTGTCTGTCTGTGTGTCTCTGTCTGTCATGGTGTGTGCGTCTGTGTCATGGTCAGTGGTGTATCCTGGTTTTGTGCTGCCCTAGGCAGGACAAAACTCAGGCATCCCCCGCGCTACCCCCACCCGCGCAACCGCCACCCAACCCTTCCCCCCTGCTCCGCCTTCTAAATACACACACACACACATTCACTGACAGATACGCATTCACTAGCTAACAGAAAGACACACCCCGTGAAAAAGACATACCCTCGTCACTTCCGGTGACGCGGCCGCACCGGAAGTGACGTCCAACCAATAGAGGAGGAGGTGTGCCGCATCGCGCATGCGCACAACCTCCAGGCAGAGAACGTTAACAGCAAGCAGGGGACATTAACGCCGCACTGCGCACGCGCGTCTAGTACTCCCGTCGGAGGTACAGCGCGCGTGCGCAGTACTGGGGTATGGAAATCTGATGGCCATTTCGCCTGTTAAATCTCCATACCCCTATACTGCGCATGCGCGGACACAATCGACAGCCCACCGGGAAATTTCCTGGTATCCCGGTGGGCCAGTCCGGCCCTGAGGCTAACTAGGTTTTCAAAACATTGTCCGATCAAAGGTGCATGCATATCCATTTCTCTCATTTAAAAGAAATCCATTTTCTTTTAAAAAGGATTATTAAAAAATAGTTTTGAGGTGACAGTTTTCCTATAAAGCTGCAGCAAATGTTTTTTCGAATCTATGTAGTTTATAAAAGCTACTCTCAGTCAGGAGATAAAGTGCAGGGAAGAGTGCTGAGTTCCAAGTAACTAATTCATATTTCTAAACAATGCGTAGCAACCAGTAGGTCAATATATGCAGTGCTGTACAGCTTCATACAACAGAATGTGACCATACAACAGTCGCTATACGTGCAAAGGTCTAATCTCAAGCATTGTGTGGAGCAACTATTTTCAAGTTAGAGGGACACTATAGTCACCAGAACAACTACAGCTTATTGAACTTGTTTTGGTGAGTAGAATCATTACCTTCAGGCTTTTTGCTGAAAACACTAACTTTTGAGAGAAAATGCAGTGTTTACATTACAGCAGACTGCTTGTTTTTCTGAGTCTAACAGCATGCAGAGTTATAGCTTCAGGCTTGAATACAGTAAGATTTTTACTATATTTATCGAGGCATGAGGGGCCCAAGTGGGTTAGATGGTGGTTTTAACACTATAGGGTCAGGAATGCATGTTTGTGTTCCTGACCCTATAGTGATCCTTTAATGAAGATGTCACATTAGAGGCAGCAGTCCTGGGGATTAGCTGCAAATCATGGACTTTGGGATGTGATAATTTGTTTGTTTGTTTTTATGCATTATGTCCATGATAGAGTAAAGGCTTATGACATCAACCCAGAGAATCGAACTCTACGCCCTAATATCAGGGTCATTCGATCTCAATTTATACATATTATGCAGGTTAAGCAAGAAAAAGCAGATAAGCTTCTCATCTGCATTCGTTGAAGACTGACGTTCAAACACCACTGCCCTGCTACATTGTAATTAATATAGTTAAAATATTGTTAAACCATCACATCCATCACAAGGTAAATAAGTCTGACTGACAAGGACAAGTCACGGTGACTAACATTTTATTTGTGTTACTTATAAAAAATTGATGCACGAATGAGACACACGAAAGGTCAAAGTATATTGTCTAAAATATACATAAAGGGGATACGGAATCCTAACTAACATTTTAGACAGCATAGAATTATTCACAACATTTTAGACAAAGAAGGAAGAGGTAAGTAATTTAGTTGGAGAATTTCACTATAGCTGCTACAAAAAGAGTTCTGTTGTCAATTTGCTATTAGCCAGTCAGACTAAAAAAAAATATACAAGAGATAGGTTCATGTTCGGACATGAGACAGTGTGATAACCTATACTATAGCAGAGGCTTCCTTAGTATCCCGGTAAGGCAGACCACTTTGCACACAGGGACAAGAGTGGAGACAGCACTAGAGCTACAAGAAGCCAGTGGGTACCTTGATAATGTAGGCTGGGTAAGATGTAGAGAATTTTAGGTAGAAAGCCTTCTCTAGATGGGTAGAAGGTATTGTAGTAATACATTTTTGCTACAAATTATCATTTCTCAGAGGGCTGCTGAAGCCAACCAGGCCACTTTATCAATGTTTCCAACCCAATGCTTCTCATAGAGAATGTGGAGTGAACACTGCACTTATTAGATCAAATGCTTCTCATAGGGAAGCATTGAATCCAATACAATGGAATCTCGGAACTCGAACGTTCCTGTGCACGAACAATTTGAACTAAAAGTTTGAGTAAAAAAGGTCTCGGTACGCAAATGATCTTTGGTACACGAACATCAAAGAGCCGCTCACCGGAGCCATGTGACTCCTCCAGCCAGCTCTCTCATGGAGTTAAGATGAGGCCCAGCTGTTACAGGATGAGTGTGTTCTACTGACCTGCAGAGAGGTACCTACCTTGCTCCATCCCTAGCACACTCTACCTACCTACACCACCCAGGGCACCTCCCTACCTACCTACACCACCCAGGGCAGCCCTCCAGCACGCAGAGCACACTCTACTAGCATCCAGCAGCTCCCAAGACAGCCCGGTACAGCTGCCCCCCTTTGCTCCCTGCTGGCAGCCAGTCCTGGCAGATATGGGCAGACCATCCTCAGTGGGGGCAAAATACACCTTTACTTGGTAAATGCCGGATTGCTCTCCCTGGGAACTTATCACCAAGAGGCAACATGTTGCTCCGAAACGGCGTGCTGGGCTTCTCGCTGTACTTACTGCTTCTGTAGGAGACCCCGAGCAGGAGAATCCCCGTGGACACCGGTCAGTGCACCTTCCCCAAAGAAGTAAGTACTGGAGCCAGACAGGCACGTGTGCAGTGTGTGTATTATGTCAGCTATGTGTTTTTTACTATGTCAGCTATGTGTGTGTGCGTGTGTGTTTGTGCGCAATGTCTGTTATGTGTGTTCAGTGTGTGTACGAACAGTGGTCCCGTTTACAATGTAAAATGCTGTAATTTTTGGGGTCTGGAACGCATTCATCAAATTTACATGCATTCTTGAACGGATTAAGTTCGAGTTCCGAGGTTTCACTGTACTTCCCTATGATCAGCATTTGATGACTCTTGCTAATGTTTTTCTTTGCAGGGGTAAACACACCTCTAGTGGCTGCCTTCCTGACAGAGAGCATTTTATTGAAGCAGTGCGGTGATTAGCGTGCATGTGCAGTAGCCTCCCAATGCTAAGGAAAACATTGGATTGGCTGAGATCATCAATCTTGATGATCCCAGCCAGGGAGGCAGGCAGGCACTGTGGCAACACGGAGACTGGCACAGTGAGGGCTGGAAGGTAAATGAGGCTTTTTTCATTGCAAGTGGGGGGCAGTGCAAGTGGGGGGCAGTCAACTAAATAGTCAGTAGGACACTACATTGTCAGGAAAATATGTTTGTATTCCAAATACTATAGTGTTCCCCTTAATATCTGGGTTGCTTAGTTCAAGTTGAAAATTTACAACTGACCTTTTTTTTTTTTCTTCATACATCTAAACCAAAGCGGCTCACATATAACTACACCCCTAACACAAGAAACCCATATTGACCTTTTAAAGGACCACTATAGTGCCAGGAAAACAAACTCGTTTTCCTGCCACTATAGTGCCCTGAGGGTGCCCCAACCCTCAGGGTCCCACTCCCATGGCCCTGAAGGGGAAGGAAGGTGTTAATCCCTTACCTTTTTTCCAGCGCCGGGCTCCCTCGGCGCTGGGACTCTCCTCCCTCTTCTGAGGGCACCGGCTGAATGCGCATGCGCGGCAAGAGCCAGTCTCATAGGAAAGCATTCTTAATGCTTTCCTATGGACGCTGGCGTCTTCTCACTGTGAAAATCACAGTGAGAAGCGCGGAAGCGCCTCAAGCGGGTGTCAATGAGACAGCCACTAGAGGCTGGATTAACCCTATTGTAAACATAGCAGTTTCTCTGAAACTGCTATGTTTACAGCAAAAAGGGTTAAACCTAGATGGACCTGGCACCCAGACCACTTCATTAAGCTGAAGTGGTCTGGGTGCCTATAGTGGTCCTTTAAAACATATTAGTTAAAGCATATATTTGTGTCCCATGTCCCTTAACCTTGCAATGGTAATTACTGCAGCTTTTGCGAAACTGAAATAATTACATTGCAGGGTTAACTCCACCTCTAGTGGCTGTTTACCAGACAGCCACTAGAGGGACTTGCGGGTGGTTAGGCGACTTTTGGTCGTCTAACTGACACTGGACGTCTTTACGCTATGCATGAAGACATCTAGCGTCATCCAGAATCCCCACTTGAAAGCATTATACAATGCTTTCCCATGGGGGAAATCCTAATGAGAGCGTGGCGAGGATTGGAGCTGGAGCCTGAACCAGCGCCAAGGGACATTGGTGCTGGACTCAGGTAAGTGACAGAAGTGGTTTTTAGACACTATAGTTTCCCTTTAGTTTTCCAACATATGCGCAATTTCCTACAAGATCATCTAAGAGAACTATCATTGCTCAATATACAGTATTAGGTCACCCTTACCGCATAACCTCAGTAGATAAATCACAACTTTTCAGGGGACAATATCCTTGTTCCACTGAAAGTGTATAAAAGGAACCTTCTTACTCAGACCTTCTTTCTAACCAATCGATCAGGTATATGTTTCTAATCTGTAAGTGACTGCCAAGAAAGATCGACCAGGACAACAATTGACCCGTACCACTTTAAAATGTCTTCTACTGCTACAAACCTTAGCAGAAATCTCCTTTTGTATGGAGTTAATCCATCTATCGAAAATATCACGATCTTAAAGAAGTGGACGACTAACCACTGTAAAATTACACTTTGGTCCATGGTGGAATAATATTGACCACAAATGTGTGCACTGACTTATGTTATTCCCCTCTTTGTGGTTGTTCTCAGTTCCTTATTTATAAAAATGTTTGTAAAAACAAAGAAATGGAAACAAGTAACACATGAGATTCCATTCCTGGCGTTCAGATGATGCAATCAGTGCTTTAGTTATGTTGACGTTTTCCACTGTACTAGCTGATATCTGACCTCCTACCTAAGCCCTGGAGGGCATGTTTGTACACTTGTGTTTTGAAAGTTCTTGTACATTCATGCGAAAGCAGAATTATGCCCATATGTTAAAGTTATGAATATTTATACGTGTTCCAATTCATTTACCTAGAACTGTTTTCAATCAATCCCGTGTTATAAGTTAGAAAAAGTGACAGGCAGTGATTCAAACTGGGAACATGGAAATAACTATACATCTCATACAGTAATGTGATCATATTCATGACATGTTCTAGAGAGCCTATTAGAGCTAATAAGGACCTGTATGAAAACATACTGGGATACCTTGATATGTGCAATTGGCTCCCCTGCCCTGTTCTAACTGCACTCGACGCTTAGACATGTAGTAATGTGCAAAAATGTTTGCAGCTGTAAAATCATCCCCTGTTCCAGCATTGTAAGTCCTTGCGTAGTGTGTTTATGAACAATGTATGCAAGAAATATAGGCCCACAGTATCTGTGACAGCTCCCTCACAGACTTCTATGAGAGAACCCGCGCCATGGACAAAGGTAGCTCCATTTTGCTTAAAGGGACACTATAGGGCAGCAGTGACCTTCAGCATCTCCACGCTCTGCTTAAAAGTAAGGAGAGGGGAGCCTAAACTGTGCTATATATGTTTGTATTCCTGACATTATTGTATTCCTTTAACCCCTTAAAGACACGACATGTGTGACATGTCATGATTCCCTTTTATTCCAGAAGTTTGGTCCTTAAGGGGTTAAAGCAGGAGAACCATGGAGAGCCAGCCCTGCTGTCTGCCTTTTTTGGGCCGGTGGGGAGATCAAACATCTCCCTCTCTGGTCTCCGGGCAGTGTGTTAAGGGAGAGGGAGGGAGCTAGGACTCAGAAGCCTGCTGGATAGGAGGAGGACCCAGGAGGCTGTGATCCTCCCGCGAGCATGCAGGTAGGAGCGTTGCCGCACGTTACCATGGCAACGCTCCAACAGCGCTGTGCTCGCTGGAAGAAAATAGTGAAGTCAGCCTGCAGTGGGAGGAGCTGCAGGCTAAGGTGCATGCAAAACCACTGAACTACCAGGGATTGCAGTGATATGTCCTATCCTTCCAGGCCAGAGGTAGGAAGGAGGGGGGTGCATACTTTTTTTCCCTCTTTTTAAGTAAAACATTTTATAAAATAGATTCTCTCCCTGATCCCCCTCCCCACCACACTATAGACCACTGACACACTACACCACCTTACACGCATACTGCACTCCCCCCCACACACAGAACCCCTCACACAAACACACTACATCCCCTCACACAAACACACTGCACCCCCCCACACACACAGAACCCCTCAAACAAACACACTGCACCCCCCACACACAGAACCCCTCACACAGACAAATAACCCCTCACACACAAACACACTGCACCCCCTCACACACTACACCCCCTCACACACATAAAAACATAACACCCCTCACACACACCCAAATCCTCACACAAACACATAACTCCTCACACAAACAAACTGCACCCCTCACACGCATACTGGACCCCTCTCACAAACACAGCATCCCTCACACAGACACCCACTATACCCCTCACACACACACACACCACACACACACAGAACCCCTCACACTCACTGCACCCCCTCACATACACACTGCACCCATCACATGCACTCTGGACCCCTCTCACAAACACAGCATCCCTCACACAAACACACTACACCCCCCAGACACAGAACCCCTAACACACACAGAATAACTCACACAAAAAACCTGCACCCCCCTCACACACACACTGCACCACTCACACACAAACACTGCACCACACACTCTGCACCCTTCACACACACACACACACACTGCAAGTAGCAACATCATATCAATACCAGTTAACATCACACCAAAGAGAATCAGTTCCAGCCATCACATTAGGAGTTAGTTAATTAAATGTTTGACCAAATACAGCAGGCTAATTTTTAAGTTGATAATTTTGTATGGCTCGTGAATGATGTTTTCAAATATCCAAATGGTCCCCTGCTTTAAAAAATTACTCCAAGCACCCTAACCATGTTAGTAATTTGAAGTGGTCGTGGTATTTAAGTAAAGTCTGTGCAGCATTTCATGGAGAAGCACAGCACATAAAAAGTTAAAGCACATAGCTGCTGGAAGTGAAAACATCATTACTTTTGTTCCAGGCTGGCTAATGTCAATTATGTACACAGTGGGCATCTCTCTTTCATCAGCACGCATAGCATGCTGAGAACACATGACCAGTAGCAGCATCCCACCCCCGGTCGCACCAGTCCTCCCCTTCCCATCAGTCCATCCCCAGGGATGTCCAAGGGCCCCAAGGGAGCGATGTCACTGGAGAAGGATAGGGCTAAGGATCTACATTTGCATTGATTGCCCTGGCTATGCCGTGTCTGTAGTGGATTATGATGTAATTTGATGCATTTTTGATAAAAAAATAAATAAATAAATAAAAACCAAAAAACAGAGCATCTCATGGAAAAATGTTGACCGTGATGGAGTGGTGAGACATGCCAGCAATGGTTACCTCATCTTAAACAATCTTTTATTAAATATTGTGTATTGGTTGGAGTAACCTATTCAGATATAAAGAATGTCAAACCGTCAGAAGCCCCATCAGCTGTGCAAGATCATTCACATCTTTTCCTTGATTTAAACAGTTTTTTGTTTTTTTTTACCATTACGTTTACATATCCCTATATTTAACAAATATGTATTTGTGATGTGTGAAAAATAAAATTAAGTGTAGAAAATCACTCATCGGGGGGCGGAGCTTGACCGCCATGCAGACATGTCGCAGCTACCCGGAGCTCCGATCAAGAGGCCGACAAATACACCCAACTTGCGGCAATCCAGCCAAGTTAAATGGGTACCTCAACTACCCACCCCACGGAGCACCCAGTGGGCAAAGGCACTATGCACCATCCGGGCGCACTTACTGAGGCAGGTCGGACTTGGGGCCTAGCAGTTGATGCGGGGCGGGAGATGCGGCCGGTCTCCCAGCCCTGAAGTCCTGCAGGACACCGCTTATCCCGCCCCTCCCCCCCCCCATGGACCGGCGTGGGTCATCCCGGTCCACCACGGCATCCACACAGCCCAGCGTCTGCACACACAGGCCCTACCAGACAGGCAAGGACGGGAGGCTGCAGAGAAAATCCGCTCACCTAAGATTGCGGCAGCCACATGCAAAGCGGGTCCCATATACCGCAGAGAGAAGCTGATGACATACCTGGATCGGCTCTATACAGCACTGAACGGCAGGAGCTGGAGAGCTCAGAAGCAACACCACTACAACAGCAGACCCCATGGGGGCGAAAGCAGGAGGGAGAACCCCCTTCTCACTCACGGAAGGGAGAACATCCCAAGTGTTGGGGCAAGCGCCGCTCACGAAACCGGGTCCAAAAAGCCAACACACAGAACCAGCTGTCACACACCAACCCCAATTCAGACACAACCTAGGATGGAAAGATCCAGCCTCAAGAGGGGTGGAAAACGTGTACAGACCCTGGGACTAAATGTATTATGAAGAGTGGTTTTTATCTTATGTTGCAATCTCTCAGCCACAGTCCCCCCCACCCCTCCACCCCCTTATTTTTGCTCTTACCGCCCAGGGCTCCCTGTAGTGCAGTAGATAAGAACAAAAATGTTGTTGTTTGCCATGAATCTTCTACCCCAGCTGTGAAGATGTCTCAAAATGCCTGTTCCTTAATCTTGTCTCTAAGCTAACGCATTATAAGCAAAATCTTACCTGCTACTTGTTTTGACACTAGCATGTTCCACAATCTATCTTACACCTATACTCACCATGTCTGATACAGCATAACTCAATATTTCCCTCTCACTATAAAGCCTGGGCATGACAGAATTCAACTGGACTCTAAACTATGTTATTAAAAAAAAATGTGCAGCATACTCAAATGCCATACATATGTTAAGCTTTGTCTAATTGCCTGCTTGTCACTGCTGTTGGGGCATTGACAGGATGTCTGTGAATCAAACGCACACAAAAATAAAGAATAAAAAAAAAGAAAATCACTCATCTTTATGCTGTTACTGGACGCCTCCATCTACGCTTCTGTCAATCATTGTTCTAAACTCAGTTAGCATTGAGAAATCATACAAAAAAGGAGAAATTAAACAATTTCTATTTCTTCTTTTTATTTGCAATGTTGGCACTGGCTTTTAATTGTATGAACTGTATTATGATGTCATTTGCTACATTTTTATATATTATTTCAAAGAAAACAGCATCTCATAGAAAGGAAGCTAACACACATTAGAGGTGATTTTCCATGTTTTATTCAATGGCATATATTCCTCAGAAATGACAGATCCCCTATAACAGGAGTGGGCAGCCTTTTAGTATTACTGTGCCAATATAAGATCTTTGAGTCCATTGCCGTGCCGGTTCTATTCTAATAAATTGAGATGTGAATGTTGCCGTATTCTGTGCTATTTATGGGTGCTACAGTTTCTTTGTATCCTTGTAGTTGTGAATATGTTGGGTTGTTATATTGTAGATGTTCATAAGTGTGTGACATTGTGTATGATACTTATAAATGTGGGCCGTGTATAGGGGCTGCTTATGGAATTGTGTGTGGATAATATGTTACATTGTGTGTTTAGTGTGTGTGTATATGTGTGAGGCTGCTTGTGGTATTGCATGTGAGAGGCTGCTTGTAGGGTTGTGTATGTGTGGATTGTCTTTGGTGTTGTGTCTGCTGATGACTGTGTGTTTGTGTATTGGTTGTTTGTAATATTTGTATGAGGGGAAGGCTTATTCTGCAGCTCTGTGTTTATATACTGTGGAGGGCTAGCCTGTGGTCTAGTGGGGACCAGATTGGCCAGGTACTGGGGAGGAGCTGCGATAACTGCTGCAGTTTGCTCTACTCCAGTGCAGATTCCCATCCACAAGTGCTGGGATAAAGAGATCTGAGATCACTTCCTCTAAGTGCTCCAATACGTAAATTGAGGATTGTCCCTCACCACCTGCAATCATCGCTCAGTTTGCACTAGCAGTTTTCTGACGTCTCACTTAAACTCCTGATAGGCCAGAGCCCGTTTGTCTCTGGCAGCTTTGAGTGCTGTGCATAGACACCTCAAGTGCTAGAGGTTGCTGACCTCTGCCCTGTAACATCTAAAAGCAGGTTTCAGACTCTTCCTGATTTTTGGAGAACAAGCTAAAGAAACTGAAATAAATACATACACACAATGCATTCCTTTCAGTTTGTTTGAAATAGCAAAAAGGTGCTTTGTGGTGGAGATACATTATTGATTAATTTGTTACTTGGTGCACAATTATTTAGCAAAAATAACGTAGCTTTTTTTTATTTAGGTGCCTAATTTTTATGATGCGGTGCTATTTTTGGAATATATTTACATACGATGGAACTGGAAATGGGTAACGGGTGTAAGTGAACTGGAGAAGTTTAATTTGTTTATATTAGAATAAGTGATACCTCAGAAATTATATGGTAACCGTATACAAATATGTACAAGCCCAATACAAACTTATGGGTCAGGTGACCTGTTAATTAAAAGGACATGACACCATCAACTTTAAATTAAGAAGAGATAAATTTACCATAAGAAGAGGAAAGGTATTCTACGATTACGAACAATAACACATGTTTATCTGCCTGGAGATTTAAATTTTTTTTTATTTATGCCTTAAAAAAAGTGTGGATAGGAGATAATGGAGTTAAAAAACGGTACGCAGGCGGAGCCTAACTGCTGAGGCAAGCAGACACAAGACCCAAGAGCTCTGAGCAAAAACTGAGAAAATACCCCAAAAAACGACTGATAATACCTCAAAAAACCGCTGACCACAGGCAGGAACACCTTAAGCCACCATGGGATGGAAAACCAAGAAACAAATGCAAGATACACCAGCCACAGGACTCACAATAGGGGAAATATGGCGGCAGGCATGTGGCCCGAGCAGATCCAATATGGCGGCGCTCCACGGAGGCTGCACGGATTTCTCAGATCATTATTCAGGGGACGAAGAAACCCAGCAAATCCAGGAAAGACCCTGATGCCAAACTGGTGACTACTGGGGTACTGAAGTCCCTGCTAGCAGACCTACAGAAAAACATCCTAGCGGATGTCATCGCACTAAGGGGAGAGCTGCAGGGCCTGACAGGCCGCATCACAGCGCTAGAGGAATCCTCCCAAGAACAGCAGCGCACCATAACCTCGCTGCAGAACGACATGCGGGACCTGCGCCGCCAAAATGAGCTGTATGAACGGCGCTTCGCAGCCCAGGAGGACACTAGACGAAGACTCAACATAAAGGTCAGGGGGATTTCGGAGGGGTTACCAGGGAAGGATTTGCCGCGCACGATCAAGCGCATACTAACCACAACATTACCCCCAGACCAAGCCAATGCCATCACACCTACAAATCTCTTCCGAATCCCAACACCCGATGGGGCCCCAGACACGGTCTCAAAAGACACTATCCTCACCTTTGGAAATTGGTCAGACAAATCGAAGGTCCTCTCAGCGGTCCGGGGTAAAGCCCCCGTTCAGTTTGAAAAAACAAAATTGACCTTCTACGCCGACCTGTCCATCGGAAACCTGGCACGGCGCAGGTCACTCTGGCCCCTCACCTCCACACTCCAGCTCAATAACAAACCATATCGCTGGCGATCCTCACACACGCTCCTAGTGCAACACGGTGAAACAACACACCAAATCTACAGCATACAAGATGCAGAGGCTCTCCTACAAACCTTGGGATTGTCACAGGACATACTCTCCTGGGAGGGACCCTGTGCCCACGCCACCCTGACCCACAACTGGGACCCGGCAAGAAGTGCCCCGTTCAGACCACGGAGCACCACACCGATAAACTACACCCCGGTTACCACATAAATGGAACTGAAGGGCACAGCCCCCAACCTCAGCAACACCATAACATGTCCACACCGTCCTACCGAGAAATGGAGTACCACACCGGAACCTCTCTAATGCCTCGCGATACACCGGCTGGCGAGACCAACACCCAAGACCTAGAGAACTCTTTCCTTCTCTCATGCTCTATCTAACTCTCATTACTTACGCCAGCTAATGGAGCAAGACCTAAGCCTGGGGAACCCCGGGAGACTCCGAAGCTACGAATATCATGCCTAAGATAGTCCATCTACAGCATTAAGTATATAGTTATTGCTCGTTTAAGTATCAAATAATCTACTCATTCAGCTTTTCATACTTTTAAGTCACACAATCACCATTTGCTTTGGCTTGCTCTCTCCTGCCTCGCTTACAAGCGAAAAAAAAGGTCAGCAATAGCTTAAATAAATCCCAGATATCCTGGCACATATGTAACAGTAAAGCGCAGTAGCTATATACACACTCTAAACCACGCTGACACTGCATTCCAACAGCCACGCACAACACCCAGAAAGCCTATGTACCCTCAATAAGTCACTAGCCTGTGGAGTTGGGGCCTCCCAGCCTAAACACACACGGCACAGAGTACATGGGCAACACATCGCAACTAGATAAAGCTACACTACAAAACTCAGTACGCGCCAACTCAGTACGCTTACACTAGCATAGCAGACCTAGAAAAACTACACACCGAGCACCTCTCATTTTACTATATTGTACCTTAACTTCATCCCAACGACACAACTCTTTAGTTAAACTTAGAAAACTATAAAAACTGGGCCAAATATCAGGTTACTGTTTACCGCCTGAGAAGCTGGTACTACGCCGATGTGGCACCTACTGACAATAGGTAACCCCTTGCAAGTTACAAAACGTACCTTATGCCCACTGCATACGTATACCTTTACCGATATTACTTCCATAAAACTCTTGAAAATGAATGCCGTATACTTAGCAGTCGCAGTAAAGCTATGATCAATGTACCTGGTTTAAATAAGTTCCATCATATCTAGTATTGATGAGTCACCATTGATTTATTTCACTGTATTTTAGTTAATCCTACCTTATCGATTTAGCTATCTAGTCAAGCATGTTTAAAAACATAAAACTGTGCAAATTCTCACGCCACTGTTAAACTGTCGTGAATTTTGAAATACGCTGTTGTGGCGTCCGTTGATACCCTGTACTCACCTGCACAACAAAAATAAAGAATAAAAAAATAAAAATAAAGTATGGATGATTTTTTTTAGCGCAATATATGATATATAGGGATATGAGTAAACAAGGTTTGTTTTTTTACTTTTTTCTTTTTTTAAACAGGAATGAATAAACAACTGAACATGAACGAAAAAGTATTTTTTTTTTGTCAATATTCTATCTATCTTTCAAAATGTTTTTATCAAACAGGAATAATGTTTTCTTTAGATTGATGACGATACAGCTGGTCAAATATAGAAGTCACTCATCGTAGAACAATTTCTGTTGCAGCTTTTAGTAACCAGACAAATCACACACATTTAAGAAAATTGTAGTTCGGTGGTCCATTCACAATAGATGAAATTGCACTCGAGATGAAGATTTTGAAATGAAACAATTACAACGAAAGGAAAGGTATTTAAAACACATAACAAAACTAAATATGCTGAACATAGCTGCAAAATAGCAGTGTCCATAATAAGATCTGACCTGAAAGACACAAGAAAAAGAGAATAAAATGACTGAACACAAGTCTCTCACTAATTTTCAGTTGACGATAAAAAGGAAAAAGCCTTTTCTAAATTCTTACCCATATTTCAAATGTATATTTGAAAAATCATGTATAAACAACATGATAAGAAGGACAGAATACCCTGGAAATATTCTGTTACTCGGCCATATGAGATCTGAATGGAAATTAATAAATAAATGTAATACTTGGTTGGACATAAGGAATGCAAAACACACTTCATTGCATTGTAAGAGCTTTAAGTGTTGTTCAGATGACCAAATTGTCGATCTTATAGTACTAGAAAAACTTGTATAAATTGACTCCCACTGTAAAATAAAGTGTTATAGATTGTTCTGTATCCACGCAGATTGAATGAGTTCTCACAATTTGTATCGAGTGTGTTGTAACTGTGTTTTTTAAATCACATTTTTATATCACAGGACAATGTCGTGAAACGAAACACAGAGGGAATATGCGGAATGTGTGTCAGAGGGTAGAGAGAATGAGGAGAAGAGGAAACTGGAGTATTAAAGTATGCTCATGAGGACTGTGTGGCATTACACTAAAATTCCCAAAAATCTTGTCAAAAGATATCAAGGGACTATTTTGTCTTATGTATTTTTGCTCAACTTGACAGACGGCAGAGCTACCTTGTGTCAAGTGTTGGCTGAGAATAAAAACCCAGATATAACTCTCCTCCCGGGACCTCTCCCCTGCAATCCTGCAACGTGTCACTGCTTGCCTTTCTTCCATCTCTGACTGGAGGTCCTCCCACTTTCTGAAACTAAATCTCTCTAAAACTGAGCTCCTTGTCTTTCCTCCTCCTAATACTGATCCTCCTCTTTCACTCTCCCTTCAAGTTAATGGTAACCAGATCAGTCCGTCCTTGCAAGCGCGCTGTCTTGGCGTCATACTTGATTCTGGCCTCACCTTTGAGCCTCACATCCACTATGTTGCCAAATCCTGTAGATTCCATCTTAAAAACATTGCCTGCATCCACCCCTTTCTTACGCAAGATGCTACCAATGAGCTTGTCCATGCTCTAGTAATTTCCCGCATGGATTATTGTAACCCTCTCCTGATTGGGCTTCCCAAAAGCTGTATTGCCCCGCTACAGTCTGTAATGAATGCTGGCGCCAGACTGATTTTCCCATCTCGTCGGTCCTCTCACACCTCACTCCTCTGCCAGTCCTTACATTGGCTTCCTGTATCCTATAGGAGTCAATCCAAAGTCCTAACCCATACCTATAAAGCATTGACCAATTCAGGCCCCTTTATTTCTCTTTTCAGATTCATAGATATGCCCCTTCTCGGTCTCTCCGCTCTGACCGTGACCTTCTCCTGTCCGCTGCTCGCACCCGTACGGCCAACTCACACTTGCAGGACTTCTCGCGGGCGGCTCCCTTCCTATGGAATCTCCTGCCTACCACCATCAGACTCTCTCCTAGTCTTCAATCCTTTAAGAAGTGCCTTAAAACCCATCCCTTTAGGAAAGCTTATGGCCTCCCAGAATAACCGCTACCTTACATACCTGTCTCTTGCTCTCTCCTAAAGGGCAGCGCTTTACTCTCTCCTCCAGCTCTGCTTCACTCCCACCTTATTTGATTGCTATTTCCTGTCCTAATGTGTTTTATACCCTACCTCCAATAGACTGTAAGCTCGTTGAGCAGGGTCCTCTTCAACCTATCGTTCCGGTAAGTTTTCTTGTAATTGTCCTATTTATAGTTAAATCCCCCTCTCACACTATTGTAAAGCGCCATGGAATCTACAGGGAGTGCAGAATTATTAGGCAAGTTGTATTTTTGAGGATTAATTTTGTTATTGAACAACAACCATGTTCTCAATGAACCCAAAAAACTCATTAATATCAAAGCTGAATATTTTTGGAAGTAGTTTTTAGTTTGTTTTTAGTTATAGCTATGTTAGGGGGATATCTGTGTGTGCAGGTGACTATTACTGTGCATAATTATTAGGCAACTTAACAAAAAACAAATATATACCCATTTCAATTATTTATTATTACCAGTGAAACCAATATAACATCTCAACATTCACAAATATACATTTCTGACATTCAAATCAAAACAAAAACAAATCAGTGACCAATATAGCCACCTTTCTTTGCAAGGACACTCAAAAGCCTGCCATCCATGGATTCTGTCAGTGTTTTGATCTGTTCACCATCAACATTGCGTGCAGCAGCAACCACAGCCTCCCAGACACTGTTCAGAGAGGTGTACTGTTTTCCCTCCTTGTAAATCTCACATTTGATGATGGACCACAGGTTCTCAATGGGGTTCAGATCAGGTGAACAAGGAGGCCATGTCATTAGATTTTCTTCTTTTATACCCTTTCTTGCCAGCCACGCTGTGGAGTACTTGGACGCGTGTGATGGAGCATTGTCCTGCATGAAAATCATGTTTTTCTTGAAGGATGCAGACTTCTTCCTGTACCACTGCTTGAAGAAGGTGTCTTCCAGGAACTGGCAGTAGGACTGGGAGTTGAGCTTGACTCCATCCTCAACCCGAAAAGGCCCCACAAGCTCATCTTTGATGATACCAGCCCAAACCAGTACTCCACCTCCACCTTGCTGGCGTCTGAGTCGGACTGGAGCTCTCTGCCCTTTACCAATCCAGCCACGGGCCCATCCATCTGGCCCATCAAGACTCACTCTCATTTCATCAGTCCATAAAACCTTAGAAAAATCAGTCTTGAGATATTTCTTGGCCCAGTCTTGACGTTTCAGCTTGTGTGTCTTGTTCAGTGGTGGTCGTCTTTCAGCCTTTCTTACCTTGGCCATGTCTCTGAGTATTGCACACCTTGTGCTTTTGGGCACTCCAGTGATGTTGCAGCTCTGAAATATGGCCAAACTGGTGGCAAGTGGCATCGTGGCAGCTGCACGCTTGACTTTTCTCAGTTCATGGGCAGTTATTTTGCGCCTTGGTTTTTCCACACGCTTCTTGCCACCCTGTTGACTATTTTGAATGAAACGCTTGATTGTTCGATGATCACGCTTCAGAAGCTTTGCAATTTTAAGAGTGCTGCATCCCTCTGCAAGATATCTCACTATTTTTTACTTTTCTGAGCCTGTCAAGTCCTTCTTTTGACCCATTTTGCCAAAGGAAAGGAAGTTGCCTAATAATTATGCACACCTGATATAGGGTGTTGATGTCATTAGACCACACCCCTTCTCATTACAGAGATGCACATCACCTAATATGCTTAATTGGTAGTAGGCTTTCGAGCCTATACAGCTTGGAGTAAGACAACATGCATAAAGAGGATGATGTGGTCAAAATACTCATTTGCCTAATAATTCTGCACTCCCTGTATTGGCGCTATATAAATGGCAATAATAATAGAAATACTGAGGGGTAATTGTCACGGCTGCTAGTGTGGTCCAACACGCAGAAACTATGTAAACATATACATAAAAAAAAGGAAAGGAAAACAAAGGACAGAGCGTAAACTGGACCTTAGAATGGCCGGACTAATACGCTAGAGATAGAGAATGGTCAATGAAGCCAGAAATACTCAGATACCGTTTAAACAAGCCAAGTCAGGGGAACCAGTATTTGGAATAACCAGGGAAAAGCCAAGATCAGGATACCAGGAAGTCAGATACACAAAGATAAACGCACTCTCGGGAACCAGGAACAGGAAACCACGACAGGGCAAGGAACTGGAGTGAATTAGGGATTTAAATATTCCTCTCTGGGTTCTGATTAGTCTCTGACCCCTCTGACCCCAGACAGTGTGCGTGCGTTGACGTCGTGACGTCACACGCACGTTCGTATTTATTTGAGGGGCGGAGCATGAGATGGACGTGACCACGTGGTCAGCGCCATCTTCGATATGGGCGCGACGCCCAGAGGACAGAGAGGAGCGGCTCCGGGCTCGCCGACGAGCAGGTAAGCTCATGGTGTCGGCGAGGCCGTGCCGGTCGGGCACGGCTGCGGCATGCGGCGGGTCGGGAGCCGCAACAGTAATGATGGGCTCTTTGTATGTATCTGTTCTCTCAAGACTAAATGGAAAGCAGTCAGGAAGTTAACAGTCAAATAGCTATCAGGCATTCCTAAACAACAAATGTGTTTGTTAGAACATATGGGCCATGCCCAAGAAACAAATCTATTGTAGCATGGTCCAGGAGGGAAATTGAAGCTATGCAATGTTGGTCAAAGAGAATGTAGGAGTGTTGATAAGGAGTATTGTATATATGAAGAATGTTCACCAGTTTGCCTATATCAAAGACGAGGTGTCTCCACCTTTCTCGCACAGGTATGTAGATTGTGACACTAGGATTCAGAGTAGGAAACAATTGAACTTACTTTATTATCATTTATATATCGGCAACATATTCTGCAATACTTTACAATGATACAAAGGGGATGCTAGAGGTAAAGCATACAAGCATACAATTGTTGAAGGTTTGAGGTAGGCAGATTAAATAAACCGCACTACTTTGACATTTTTTTTTAGTTTATAATAAAAATAAATTCTACATTTCTAGAAAACCAACAGTCAATCCAGAAATGTAATGTATCGCTCTTTTTCAAGGTTCCAGGAGAGGAGGAGGGAATCTAGAGTCTGCTGTGCACAAACATAAATAATAATATGTTAATTGGGCGTCATTCTTAAAGGAGTCAGGACCAATTTATTTTGATAAAAGCTATATTTATATAGCAATAACAAAACTGAATACTTAATTCATCTATCTTTTTCTAGGTAACTTTTAAATAAAATAAACAATTATTAGTAAAATAGGCATATTGAACTTTTACAGTAAAAGATGTTGGACGAATGCTCGAGAGGTTATATTATTTTGTTACTATTTTTGTCCATGGCTAATTTTAAACTTTTGAAATACATTGCCTTAAAAATTTTTATTTATTTTTTGTCCAGAATTTAATAAAGCCTTTTCTATTTCTTTGAATGTCCTCATGTTGTGCCTGGGTGTCACTTACTTGAGTGTGGGCCGACCTGAGTTGGTCGCATGTGGCCTTACACGCGGCCCTTGAGGTCGCCCAGGCCCTGGATGTCCTCTCTGAGGGCCTGGATAACCAGCCGGATGGATGCCTGCAGTGTGGAGGCCCACAGGTCAGCATGTATGGGTAGTGATTGAAGCAGCCTGCCCCAATCCCTGTCATCTGGGACATGCAACAGTTCCTCCGGTGAGAAGGCCAGGGAGTGAGCCTCTGCGCTGTCTGAGGCCCTCTCTCCGACGGAGGCAGGGAAGTCAGGTTCGCCAGTGTGGAGAAGTACTGTCAGGGGGATGGGGTAAGAGACCCTTTCTTGGGCTCGGCAGCCCTCTGGGAGCCCGAGGCTTGGTGCGACTTGCCCATGGAGGTGAGTGAGGTTGGAATTTCTGCTTAATTTACGAGTAGGCAGAGGAGAGAATGATCAAGCGGCCATCTCCGATCGCGTTCAGGCCCCGCCCCCCACAGTCTACCTTGTTACGTGTTTCATGGGAACCACAGAACTAAGGATTTAGCTCACTAAGGTAGCTATGGACCAATACAGGTGAATTATCAGACCATAGAGTGACCAGGGTTTAATGATTGTTCCAGGAATTGCCCTGGGCTGGAAACACGGGGTTCTGGATTTAGTGTTTTAATGTATGTATGTCACGGCGGCCCCCTGAGAATGGGGAGACGTGTGGGTAGGTTTGAGTTTGTGTGGGGGGACTTGACGGATTCATGGGGGACTCCCTTTCTAACTTTCACAGTCCCTTCTTATGCCCTCCAATAAGCACACGGTGACGGGGAAACCCAGGCCAGAATGCCCAAACCAGACTTCTACAGACTGATCGTATGTGAGGGTTCCATGCGCCCAACCGGGACAAATCTGATAACTTTGTGGAACTGCCGAGTGGATACGACCTTTGAAACATCCTGCTGAAATTTTAACCTGAAATAGCTTGGATCCCCTGTGATGGATCATGGAGCTGGGGTTTTGTGATGTTTCTAAGTGTTTTGGGGATATTCTGTTAAAGCGCCTTGTTGTCTGGAGGTTGATTGGATCAGCGTTACTTGATCTAGATATCTTCCAGACAGAGACATGCCTGGGTGGAAACTCTATTGTTTTAGGTAACGACCGGCCTGTGGATAAATACGTACATTTGAACTAAATAAAATATCTTTTGTTTTCACCCTTCATCAAATCTAGGGTGATGTTTGGGTGAGCTGCTATAATCACTGAAGGTGTCCTGCTGGAAAAGGAGGGTTATTAAAGGGACACTATAGGCACCCAAACCACTTCAGCTCATTGTGGTCTGGGTGCAGTGTCCCAGTCCCCCTTAGTCCTGCAATTGCAATTTCAGAGAAACTGTAATATTTACATTGCAGCACTAAGACAGCCTCTAGTGGCTGTCTACCAAATGAAAGCAACTGAAGCAATGCATTCCTATGATGATGGCGTAATGTGCTTTGAAGCGCTCTCCGCACATGCACATTAGATAACCTCACTGGATGACATCAGAGGAGGCGGAGCACCGCCCAACACTGAGTAAGTGTTGAAAGTGGTTTTAACCGTTTAAGTGCTTGGGGAGTGGGGGGGCATGAGGGCACTATAGTGTTAGGAATACAGCTTTGTATTCCTAACACTGTAGAATACCTTTAACGGAGATACTCAGGCTGCTTACCGAGCTCTCTTACAAGGCTAAAGCTAATAGTTAAGCCATAGTCAAAGAGGACAGGAAGCAGCGCACTGTAGTATACAAGCTGAAAAATCAAGAATAACAGAATGGAGAATGGTCAGATTACTACCTCTGGTCATAATGCTATTTAGATGATAAAGCTTACCACAAGGGAAAACCACAACAGGACACAACAACCGGTCTGGAATGAGCTTACAAAAGCTGTAGAGGACCTGCGATAGGCCAGCAT